CAGTGCTTATCCATAATTATGGTCTTTTAAAAGTTGTAAAAATGAATATTAAATAACTTTATAAGTTTAATAATAATTGTTTTAATAAAGTTTCTAATTCTTCATATTAGAATATCAGAAATATTATAATAATTTCGAATTATTTATAATGATGGTATTTAAAATATGTACGTTTTACTTGAGTAAATATGTATATTAATAAATATGTAATAAGTACTTATAATATTTAGGTTTTTGTTGAATTGTCATACGATTTTTCAATATTTTTATTTTATAAAATATCTATATAATCCAATGAATATACATTTTATAAAAAAAAAATAATTAGCTTTAATACTTATTTCAATGAGATTATCATGATATAATATATGTATATATAATCTATTGGCAACACCTTTAGAAAAAGATAAATTAGATTTAATATTTAATATATTAGATTATCACAATAAACTATATATAAAATCTATTGGAAACACCTTTAAAAAAAAAAAAAATATTTTAGCTCTTATACTTATTTCAGTGATAAATTTATTATAATTAAATATGTATATTAGATATTTAGTTATGTATATAATATATTAGAAACAATTTTTAAAAAAAAATAAATAGTATTCCAACAGATTTAATAATATGCATAGAGAAAGCAAAAATTACTTAAGTAGCTATACAAGCAAAAGCTGTTCACAACACTTCTAGAAATATTCTTAAAAGTAAATAATTTATACAATGGTCTATCAAAATAAGCATTGTATGGGTTCATTAGAAAGAAACGAAAACCAACTGTATTTTAAGTTCGTCGGTGACATTAGTAGTAAATTTTAAAAAAGTATATAACAATACTCATTCAACATGTATATAATGAATATATAAAACACTCTCTTATAACTTATAAAAACCATAAAACTTATATACATAAAACTTATCTGAAATACAACCATGAAACGTTTCAGAATAAGTTTTGGAACAGTACCACAAATTGGAGAATTCAGCCTCTCACATCCATACCTATGTCCATATGTTTAGATTCATCAGGCAACAAAAATTTTTAACTAAAATCTGATACACAATATGAAGATCTCGCACTGGCTATAACCCTATTCAATAATGGTAAACGGAGTACAGGTTTCCTTAACATACTCAACAACACCTTGGTTTTATAAAGGAAAACCTATTAGAAAAAGTGCACGCCTTATAAAAAATTCGCACTCATATGGGAAGTGCGCTGGTCTTAGTTCCTTCTGTTTGACAAATCATCTCAATTCAGAAAGACTCTGTATCTTATCACGTAATTTTTTTGCAATTTGGGTTGGCATGAAAATCTATTAAAGCTATCACAGACATAAAATAAAAAAATATTTTCCATAGTATCAAATACTAGTAGAGAAGTAATATATTCTCAAGTTTATCTTTATAGTTTTTCTATGGCATATGAATTTATATATAATATTTTCAATATCTGAAGGTTTGAAGCTTAATAATACGATTTGAGTTAATGTTTTTTTAATGGACTACAAAGAAGAACACATTATAAAATATGCTTCTGAAGCATATTTGATAAAAGATTTACTGAGAGATTTGCTGTATCAATTAAATTTTTATATGAACTATTATAATAAATGTAAGGAAATTTATACCAACAAAAATGTAATTAAATATAAATATAAATATTAAGATATTGAAGATTTATTCTTTTATAAAAAAAATACATTTTTGGAAAGAAATTTTTTACCTAAAAGTACACACAAAAAATTAAGTTTAATAATTTATTTGCCAATTCGTTATTTATTCATTGAAAATACAAAACGGTTTATCACATGTAAACTTTTACGGATCGTAGATACTTAAACAACAGTTTTTCCATGTAGCCATTGCTATAATGTTTTTTACTATATGTTAATGTACCACTTTTATAAAAAAACTCATTATTAATGAGATATAAACCTCTATTTTTATATACAGAGATTATATGAATTGCGTAAGAAATTAAAAAGTAATTATAATAATAGATTATAATTAATTTTGAAATATAAAAGCTATAAGCTTTAATATGAGAGAACTTTGATTAATAATACAAAGTTCATTAAAGTAAGAAAAAATGTATATTTTTAGAAAACACATTTATTAACTATTCTGTAACTGGGACAGAACTCAGTAGTTTAGTGTTGGATTGAAGAATCGAAATGAAAATACAAAAGATTCACTATTTTTCATTTATTAAAACAGATATATTGGCTTTAAATTTCAAATTATGGTTATTAATTAATTAGACTGTCAAATTTATCAAAAAAGATAAGTTAAATGTTCTTGGTACAATAGAAATAAATATATTTACAAGGATTTCAAAATAAACACAATAAAACAATGCACCAGCGATAAACCGATGAAAGTATTCGATAAATTAGGTGAACATAAAACTCCATGTAATAATAAAAAATTAACAAAATTAGATATGCCGACATCCAGATACTTATAAATACAACAACACAGTATAACATTAAAACAGCACATCTTAAGTCAGACATACACAAGTATACCTATCCAAAGGAAAGATTAACACTCTTTCGATGAACACCAACTTAAAATAATCAATCAACAATCAGCACCCGCGCTAGATTCAATATCATTTAGCCTAATCTTTACTACAGTTCTATGATCTTTTCAAATGCTTAGTTTTCAGGTGATCTTGGGCTGCTACAACATTCAACTTGACGCAATATCTTAAAAATATAATACCTAAAAATCATTACCATCAAACAATTATTGCAGTCAGAAAAGAAAATTTTAACCTGTAAATTAAAACTCATGCACAAGTGATTAAAACACAATAGTCCCAATGTACACATTAACTTGAATCCACTCTATTATTGAACGTACTCATTGAAGTGGCTAGGTTTCTACACTTGGATCCTGCTTGACTTCAAATTAAATCCCACCCATTCCCAATCCACTTTTATTTCTAAACAATCTCCACACTTCCACACTTCCATCACCTATCTATATTCTAACACAAGTATACGTCTATGTAATTCCTTTCATGGTATCTGCTTAATAGATTTCTGCGAACAACAACAACTAAAACATAGTTTCGAGAATATAGGTAGGCAAACCTAGTTAACCAAACCTATGCATAGATCAAATAGGTTCTTTTCGATTGCAGATACATTCTTTAAAGGCCACCATTAGTGAAGGTATACATCATCTAAGATGTCATTACCGAATTTCAAATGATAGTTTCACGCAATATCAAGCAATAAGTACAGCCTCACGACTGCTGGAACCAAATACTTTTAGTCAAATTTTCGAGAAATCCGAGCGGATTCAAAATTCTAGTATATCTTTGACATCAGTGTATATGTAACACTGAAACTATGCTCTATTAAAATATCGACGACTAATGGAATGTGCTGTACAATAATATATACCCAAGCAATATTAGAATGCAAGCCCTAGCATTTCATTCAGTATAGCAGACTAGTGAACAATTTAAAGTAATACTTTAAGAGATTCAAGCAGAAACAAAATTCTAGTATGTCTTTAACACCGGATTTCCAGTTCATTTATTATTTCAAAGAAACCCTAAAAAAAATATACCCATGTAATATTTGAATAGAAACCCCAAGGTTTTATATTGCATAGCAGATCAAGGGCGATTTAAACACTTTATTCCAAAAAAACGACTAAAATATATAAATCCATAACAGATCACAGACGATTTAAAGACGCATTTTATTCAAAAAAAAAAAAAAAAACGACTAAAATATTTTCAACGAATTTGAATATAACGTTAAGTAAAGGGAACTACTGTGGATACTGCATTAATGCCATTTTCGACTAATAAATCTGGGGTAACTTTTTCTACAATTTTCATATTCGATTGGTAAATCTTAAACGAAATATACTGTTTGATCAAAAAAGAACGAGAAGTTAAAAAAAAACGCAAAATTTTGATTTTTAATCATTTTCTTTATTATCGCCTTCAAAGTACTCTCCTCCTGCGGCAATACATGCATGCCAAGGCTTGAACCAATTTTCCATACAAGATTTATAGGCCGCCGAAGGTATGGCCTTTAGTTCACGCAGCGAATTCTCTTTTATGGTCTCTCGTCTATTGTCCTCGCAATGGCAATTTGAGTCGGGGGCGGGGGAAGAAGAAAAAGACACACGGGGCCATATCTGGAGAGTACGATGCTTGGTTGATAATATTGATGGAGTCTTTTTTCGGTTTCGGCTCACCTTCGAAGCAGCATTCGGTCGGTTTTTGTTTGGTGGGCATGTCAAATTGATGCATTCGATGAATGTGGGGTCACTATCTGCGTTGGAAATCATCTCTTTGGCCACATCACAATGACACTTTTTTTGAATGAAATTCAGCTAAAAATCGCCACACGAAAATTTTTCGACTTCTTTATATAGACTCCAAACAAAAACTAATCGTACAATATGCGTTAAACTTTGACAGAATGTGTATAATAGTGTTGCCAGCGTAAAAATAAAAAAAATTTACCGATTGGATAAGCGCGGGAATTCAAAAAAAGAACGAAAAAGTTCTTTTTTGATCACAAGGTATAACACTCGAGATTAATTTATAACACTCTAGATATTTTGTCAGAGTAGCAAGATTACCCTGAAATGAACAGCTGTTTTATATGAGTGGACAGGTAAAGTGTGATTTGATTCGATAGATGTATTTATGAATAACTATAAAAATGTTAAAGTACTCTAAAAATGTTCGGCAACAAATTCCGACAGATCGAATGTAAATTTAGATTGAGTCTAGATTTACCAATCGAAAACGTCATAAGTGTTTATATTTCTAATGGAATGCAGTTAAAATATTAAAAAATAAAACTACTATATACTATACTATGTACTATAGTCAGTTTATTATTGAACACATGTTTTTATTTTTATGAAAGTAATCAAAGCAATTCGTTTACGTTTTTGAAGACACCCTGTTTTTTCTTTTTTTTTTTTTTGTTAGTTTTAATACATTAACTTACCTCATTTAACTGATGCGGTTGTTGTTGCTGTGTATGTCGTGAATGTTCAATTTGTTGTTGTTGTTGTTGTGGCTGCTGCTGTTGTTGTTGCAATTGTTGGGGAGAGTGCTGATTTTGTTGCTGCTGCTGTTGTTGTTGTTGCTGCTGTTGTTGATTAGATTCATTTCGGTTTGTTGTTGCAGTGGCTGTTGCTGTCGCTGACTCACCAGGAGTTGCTGTTGCATGTTCAGTATTCATTTTTCAAATGCAACCATGCGATTGCAAACATTTTTTCATACTTATATTTATGTTTATTTATGTTTATTTTAACGTGTACTTGCTTATCGGTTTGTTTGTTTATATGTTTGTTTGTTTGTATGTTTGTTTGTTTGCTTTTCAAGTGTTCAACACTTTTTATTTGTTTATTTTGTATCCAAATTATCCTAAAATATGCAAATGTAACAAACTAATAAGAAAATAATGTTCTCTCAATCCAAAACTGAAAATAAAGAGAGAGGAAAATAAATTATCATTTAAGAAAAATTTTTCATTTTTATATAATTTTAAAAAATTTCAAAAAACCGAGTTTTAATATAAATTAGAAGTAGTTAGTATTTTTAAAGATTATTTTTATAATACGTAATAATGATACAAGAATTTAAACTAGTTATAATGCCTGATTTCTGTTATTACTCATTGATTTTTATATGACTAACGTGACAAATTACATATTATTCATCTTTACTATACAATAACACAATTACATAAATACATCAAATTCCTATAGAAACAAAACTAAGATAAAGATCTTTAAATTCTACTAATTGACAGTGATGTTGTATGGATTCGAAACACAATTTGTAACAGAACAAATACATCCATACCTTCATTGAACTCTAGCTTCACAAATTCCTTAGAGTCTCACGACTAAATCCTATAACAAACGCAGAACTACAGAGAAAAGCAAGCATGTCAATACCTACATTAGTAAATTTATAGAGGATATCATTAACGCGGTTTTATTATGCAATTCTCAAGGTAGCTGAAGAGGATGTAATCTGAGAGGCTTTGAAAGAATTTCGAAGACAGTAAAAGAGGCAACCAGGGAAATTATATGTAGACGAGCAACATTAAAAAAAAATCAATGAAAAACTAGAAGACCAATCCCCAAGGCAGCAGAAGAGACAGTCTGGAAGGCTACATGCTGACGAGTAACATTGAAAAACTAGGAGACCAATTCCCAACGCAGCAAAAGAGGCAGTATGGAAGGCTACATGAAGAGAAACAACATTGAAAAAAAATTAATAAAAAACTAATAAAACCATTCCCAAGACAGCAGAAGAGAGTCTCAGATATGGACACCATTAAAAAAAATTAATGAAAAAACATAGAACCAGTGTTAGAAATGCTAAAGAGCATCTAGGCACTGCGCTGTAAAGCATGCAATGCAATCTACTTATAGATAGACTTGGACTCAGTAAAAAATCAGCACATAAGCTTTCGTTATTATTATTAGCAATATATCATACATAATAAAAATTAAAGCTAAAGGCTCAATACGATAGAAATCTTCGCTAATTTTTGGTTGGTAGTAATAGACATTTTAATTTTTGAGAGTTATAAAGTTCTGTTAAAAATAAATTTAGACGAAACACAATATATAAACAATTTCAGTTTGGTACGAAAACAAAATAATTTTACGTATCTTAGTTAAATTAGCAACATAAGTAATGGCTGCAAACTCTTGAGAATCTAATTTGCTGGAAAAAAATCAAAAACATAATTCTACTAAATTTTCTATATAAAGCCAAGATATATAAATAAAGACAGTCAGTAAGATAAAATGATGATCTATTAGATTAGATTAAGATTAAGTTTAGATCCAGTTATAATGCTATAGCAATAATTTAAAACTATTCTAAAAACTGGCGAATCTATGCCCAAGTGCCGTTCGCCCCACCCAAAAGGCAAAGACACAAGTAGAACCCTGTGGGTTACGATAACAATATCAATATAAAGTTGTGACAAATGGAATAATAAGTGTTTACGAAAAAAAACTACTAATAAGCTGTTGGAGACTGGGTAATGGTGTCAATAAATAGTGGATGGATGTTTTTTGCGAGTGGTCAAGATTCGTTATGGATTGCATGGCCAATAATGATGATGATGAATGTTAACAATTATCATAAAATAGTTGTAGAGCTAAGTTAAAACAGAACTATTAGTGAAAAACCAAAGTTTATTCCTGTCGGACCCAAAAAAGGGTCCGAACTAAAAAAAATTATATCGGTACAACATCGTAAAGTTTAATATGAAATCATTATTTTGTAAACATTTATTACTGAAAACTATAAGCTCAAAAATAGTTTTCCTTTATAGTTTTCATTAGGTTTTGCTTTTTTTGTTAGTTTTGTAATCTCGAAAAATATGCCATATTGACGACATATAGACTGAAAGAAAAAATTGCTTAGAATGGTAAATCACGAGATCTTAGAAATCGTAATTGTGGCTAAAGTCACTTGTCACTGTTATTGTTGTAGGCCGCCAGGATCTGCTTGTGTAGTCAGTTATGGGAGTTTCGAACTCGACAAGTGACTATGGGACATAGACCCGGCTTTTCTTGGACTAATGTCTGTCGTGTTTTTGATTGTGTTATGTATAATATGAAATATAAAAATTGTAAACACTAAAAATTAATTAATTCATATAAAAGGAAACAAAACGAATATTAGAAGGGCAATGGTAAGCATTTTTATCTTATACATTTAAATTAATTTATTTATATAATGTATTTGAAATTATTAGTAAATGAGATGCTCATATGATTTTAACGGATGACTGGAATATTGCAATATATTCCCAGTGAACATTCACGATAGACTGATTTTTGAAATTGGCTTCAATGAAACTTACGACTTTAAATTTTTTACGAGTAAAATCTAACTCTAGGTCTTTTCTTCTGTGAGCATGTTGAAAAAGAACAAATAAAATAAGCACTATTTTCGATGGCAACTCTTGACAAAATGGAAATTTTGTTAGGCTTATATGTGCAGAACACGTAATAAAAATTAATGTTGAAATTTCGATAATGAATAATAATTCTTTGTAATTCTGAATAAAATATAATTTTTCATGCCTTTCAACAGTAAAATTATAAATGGAAAAAGTAACGTATTTGTTACGTACAATGACGACGCGAAATACGAAGAATTAACGAAATCATGCGTTGACAGTTACCCGGAAATTTCGTAGGTACTTTCAAAAGTCGTTCGCAATAGACGAATTTTTAGTCTTGGCAACCATACGACTTGAGCTGCTTATTAGTTAGTTAAGCGATTTCAAAAAGGTTGAACTAAATAAGCCAGCAGTGTTGTTGTTTCATATGTTATTTTTAAAATAAGCAGTTGTTCTTTTGTGATATGCTTACAAAAGAAAAGGTCTATTGTTGCTTAACATGTTTTCCTAATTAAGTTGCAAGTATTTTTTTGCTACTCTGAAAGAAAAAATTACGGCTAATATTACTTAAATCAGATGAGTGTGTTTAGCCACATACAAACACATAGACCACATAGACTACAAGTCGGTTTATAAACTCATTGAAAATGTATTTTTGAGATAAACACTGATTTATTAAACCATTTCCCATGTCGTACAATTTATATTAAAATTATACAAATTATGGATACTCCACACATAACAATATACATACATAGCATAACTTAACATAGGTTATATAAAACAGAGAAAAAATGTTTTTAATCATTTTTACAGATTATGTAGCTAACAGAATACATGTAATGAATTTTCATACACACATACGCACACATGCAACTATTGCATGCATGATTTAATTAAACTTTAACCGTGCAACTTGTAATTAACATTTTTTTACTGCATATATTGGGATTTACTTAGAAGATATAAACGAAATTTTGCTCTTTATTTGAACTGAGCACAAATCAAGTATTTTTGTATTTTTGTATTTATAGAATATAGGATAATGCACAAAAATATGAATCTATGCGAAAGTATTTATGATTCGTCGTACTAAAATGCGTTCATTGGAAAATATTGAAATTATTTTTTTTTATTTTTCATTTTTTTTTTGTTTAATTTAAAAACCATTAAATGAGTATGATTTAGTCGTTTGCCCGCCCGTCCGCTTATTTATCGACAAGTATATGTGGTGGGCAACAACAGCGCAGTCAATCATTAAAACTGCATTTGTATATGTGCAATTCTTAAAGTTTCCTCTCGCTCTTGCCAACACCGCCGCCTCAAGCAAGAATAGAACAACAAATGATGAATGTTTTATATTTTTACGTACAAGTATTTACATATATATATTTACATGTACTTACGTATTCAAAAACTAAGGAAAAGTTGAAAATGAATTGAAGCGCGCAAAATATATTACAAGAAAAATTAAAAAAAAAAAAAAAAAATGAAAATTAAATAGAAGTCAAAAATAATGCTTTAAAAGCTCAAATAAAAATTTTATGATTTTTATACTTTGAATGATTGGCGCAGTAAATATATTTTAGGCTTTTAAATTTAATATTAGATAAATTATGTGAGCGTAGATACATGAGAGAGGCAGCAGCAATTTTACTGTTTATGATTCTGCTATGTACGTTTTTCACAGTTTCTATTTTATTATTATATTTTCTATACTCAATTAGAATGCATTTAATAATTGTTTAAAAATATGTGTAGCAAAAAGAAACAAAACAAATGTAAATAAAAGCAAAACATTTAGTGTGGCAGTGTTGTTCTTAAAAATTTAAAGCACGAGTAACGAGTAAAAACTTTATAAATTAATAAAGATTTTAAAAATGTTAATAAAATCTATAACTAATGATATTTAATTATTATAAATGTTTCATAGAGATATTGTTAATTTAAGTATGTAATCATAATACTATTTTTGCACTGTTTATATCACGTATTGTTATATAGAAAAAAGCTGTTCACCAAATTATTAAAATATTTGTAACATATGTATATACATTCTTCAAATAACAGCACTAAAGCAAAAAAATTTTTTTTTTGTTTTGTATAAACAAATTCGTTTTGTAATGATGTAAGCTTAACAAAACTTTGTTTTTCTTTTCCATATTCCATTTCAAAGTTTATTCCATTTCGCATATATTGCGAATAAATTACAAATATTTTTGCGCCAATTTTTAATTACTGCTAATGCAACCCTGCGCTATATCGAATATAACCAAAATGACACGATGACGTGAATTGGTTTGTTGGTCCGTCTCTTTTGCATTTTATTTTTTTACAAGGAAAAACTATTTAAAAAGAATTTCACAATAATTTTTCAGCAAAAGCACTAAAAAAACATATATTTTTGTATATAAATTTAACTATGCAGAAAAATTAATCTTTTAACACTTAATTGTGTAATAAGGAAATTTTATTTCTGTATGTTTTTAGCTTAAAAAAGTTGTTTTTTTTACCACTTAAGTTTTTTCTACGAGGAAGAACGTTGACAATGTTAAAATTACGTCGGCGGAGGTGAGACGACGATACGCGATGCGTGTGCTAACTAGAACTGAATGAGAATTTTCAACGAGGAGACGAGAACGAAACAAGCAAAAGAAATAAATTACTTCTACAATTGGTTTCGTGAGAGGGGAAAAAACAGTGTTTTGTGCGCTATATTGGGAAAGGTAGTGGGAATGAGTACGAAGATTTCATTAATAATTGCTTTTATTATAATAGCAAAAAAAAAGCTTGCAGTAAGTCACAAATGCCTACCATTTTCTAAGTAAACTAAAAACCTTTTTATAGTAATTTCTATTTAAAATAAGCTATATATTAAAATCTAATTTATGTATTAAACTTGTAATTGCTATATGGTTAAGTAATAATTGCATAGTGTATGATTATTGCAGTGATGGGATAACAGTATGACACAATCCAATAAGAATATAAAATCATTGTCATGTGCGGTGATATCCATTAATGGCAATAAGAATATGTGAATTCTTATAGGTACAGATCTTGAAAAGTATAATCTCAATGAGAGTCATAAAATTTACTTATGCCTATTTTTTATATGATAAAAAATAAAATTATGTATGATTGTAAAAATATTTTCTGTATTAAACCAATAGACGAATAGAAATTTTATATTTTATGCACATTAAAAATCATATTTCACAAATTGATAGTTATAATAACAAACCAATAGCTTATCTTCATATTAAATTTAACTAATTACCGAATTACTGGCCCAGTATAAGGTACAGCTGCTTACTAACAAGCAAATAAAATAATTGTATATAAATGAACTAAAATTTTTAACAATATGTTATTTTCTAAACATAAAGAGAACCAAATACAAATATTTAAATAGTAAAAATTAAATAATTAAATACAAGAATTGTTTCCAGGACCACTGATGATGGGTATTTGGCAATACTCGAAACAGCTGTATGGTCAGTTAAAAATTTAATTACTTAAAATATTAAAAAATAAATTTTTGTTGTTGTAGTTCACTACTGTTCAAAAAACCTCTTTATAATAATAAAAATTTAAATATAAAAAAAAATTTATCAGGAAAAAAAATTTTCTTTATTAGTGTAAAAACTACAAAATTTAAGAACCACTTCTAGTAAAAATTTTCTTAATAGAAAATCACAAAAAAATGAAAGAAATATGCTTTTCGTTTTCTTGTCGGAAGAGGTAGAGGTGGAAGAGGTGGTTGTCCAGAAAGACGAGTGGTTATGGAACATACTATGACAGTCTGTAGCCTTAGCAATAGTCTCTACTAGAATTGTAGTTAACTATTTTTCAATAATTAAACCACACTTCGGTTAGTATATTTGGATAATAACTATCAAAATTATAGGCCTGCAATAATAATTTTCTGAAATGTATTGAATTTATTCAATTTTAATGTAATTTATAATTCTTTGACAATAAAGAATTTATTGATACAATCATAAAAAGAAGAGATTAGAAGTAATCGAGTGAAACGATGTAATAAAAATGTTCATTAAAGCGAAACCCATGGCTCCAAGACGGCTTGGAAAATTTAAAGAACGACAAAGACTATATTGGCGTTTAATTCAAAAACAAATAGAAATAGATTTCTGAAATAGATTAAAAAGAAAAATATTATTTTAATTTTTTATTTATTATTATCCTGTATTAGTTGCGTATATATCCAAATGATCAAATTATCCTTTATGAGTAAAATTATATTAGTAAGCTGTGATGTAATATCAAGGAATGGATCTTTTGTGTACATATTTTCATTAGAAAATAACTACGTCTCGTCGAAATTATATGAGACGTGGACATGGATTTAATTTTCATAACCAAATGAATTTTCTCTATAGATATATCAGATAAAATAACAGATAATACTACGCAAGATATGCAAGTAAATTTGGATGTAATCCTTTGCGACCCTGGACGAACTTCTTTGTTAATCTTTAAAATTGCAAGTTTCATATGTTCTAATAGATTTGCAACTAATATTAATCGACATTATATAAAAAATAAGTCAGTCAAAAAAATATCGAATTTCGATTCGAACTGAAATTAACATTTATACAATTTTCAAACCAATTAACAAATATTTCTTAAGCTGAGATTTAATCAAAAATATATTACCAAGTCTTTGACTTTAAGGACATAAGAAAGATGGTTGGACACAGTCAAAGGATGGACGTATAGTTAACAATGACAACTGATGCAACTAAGCCTGTAAAATGTTTCAACACAACGGCACATTTATTTCTCATTTATTTCGTTGTTATATATTTTTGTTCTATACTTTTATATTAGAGAAGTAAACTGATATTCAGCTAAAGTGAAATTTTTGAAAATTAATTCAATTCAATTGAAAAAAATATATTTAACGTAAATAACTGAAATAAATAGAAATATACTAAAAATAACGCTTGAAATAAAAGTTAAAATTAAAAAAAAAAAAAAAAAAAAAAACAAATCTAGTTATATAGTCCTTTTTTCTATATAAAGTTACCAATGTTTTGAAATTTTTTGACTTCTGCATCACGGTTTGTTATTATAAAAGTTTACGATAATAGTCTTTATATAATATATAAATAATAAAAACACGAAAACTCTAAACAAATAAAATTGTAAAAAAAATATTAAACATGTTGTGTAAAACGATTTGTAATGACGAACAAAATCCTTCTTAGATACGTCACTAATCACTGTGTAATGTGAACATATAAGTCGAGTAGCAAAGTGTTCCATGCAAATACCAATTCTGTGTATGAAAAAGAAAAATGAATTTTCAACAACAACAATGTTGTATTGTGAGCAAGAGCTTGTTTGTATGTACAATATTTATTTAAGCATATACTCGAAATAATACTCTATGAAACATATATCAACAAGAAAGTAAAATTACTGTAGTAAATGGTCAAGTTTGTAAATGTTAAGAACTCTAAGAATTAAAATTAATTTAATTCTTATAATAAATATTAAAATACTTATAATAATATAAAAACAATAATGGTAGTGTTCCTGTTGGAAACGGTGACCCGCGGGCGTCTGGAACAGTACACAGAACGGTATAGGAATAGGAATAACCGGGGTGCTCTCATCGGAGCGGAGCACTACGACCATAGTTGATCTTTTGTGCTGCAACAGACCCTAACAGACCAGAAGATATTCCACCTTCCGAATGAAAGCAAGAATGTCGGCCATTGACGACCTTCTAATGTCAGAAGTGGAGAGTAAATCTCGACCCAGTAACCTCCTCCTGGCCCAGATCAAGGCTGGGTAGTTACAGCAGGAACGGTATAGTAACTACAGAATTTAGTAGTCAAAAAAAAATTATTTTAATTGTGTCACTGATCTCAGACTCTGGTTAATACAAAGCTGAGTTTAATAGTAAAATAAGGAAAAGTTTTTGTAACAGTAACAGTTTGGTACTTCGTTATAAAAACTCAAATATTAACTCTACTTAGAATAGTAAGAGCTTAGGAATTAATACGCTGTATGGATGTGGAAGAAAGAATAATAAACAGAGAATAAATATTATTTTTCTATTAAAAAAAAATGTTCTCCTTTAGTTTATTACTGGAAATTTAATGGGTTAATACAAATTTCACAAACAAAATAATTGCAATAACTTGGTGTGCTTTGTGTTATAGGTTATTTTAGTGTTTATAAAGGCAATTAGTTACATTCACTACACCGGCAAATCGCGCTATGTTACTTTCAATTTCTATTTAAGCAACGTTTAAAACCCGTTTATCAATTTTGCATACAAATTTGCAATCAAAATTTGTATTTAAAAATTAATACACTTATAATAATCCTTTTGTAAGGATTTTTATATATAAAAAAGGCTAACAATTCATATTATTTACAAATTCATTCAAAATAACCTTAACATATAATTATTAGTATTAACATTATTAAGCATTAAATAGGAACTATCATAAAGCTGATCGAACAAAATTGAAAACGACAATGATTTTAAATCCTATATTATTATTTGAATACGTTTGTTTATAAACATTGCATGACTACAAAAAATAAATAAATAACACAAACCAGAATTAGTACCCTCTTGTTATTAAATTTGATAAGACTTGGCACAATACAACACTTTCCTCCGCACTGATTATCCGCCGTAAACTATGGATGTTGAAGACAACGCATGCCCACAAAATGCATAATATAATAATTTTATTAAAAATTAATTGCCAAAGTTTAAGCGCACTAAACCTTGTTACCATATGTTGGAATCGTTTGTTTTTTATAAAAAGTTGTTCGAAAATGCAAACATTTTAAAATTTGATTAAAACATATTTTACATAGGTATTTTTTTCGCACTTTTGATATTATTGGAATTAACTAAATATTTATTTATTGTAATATTATTATTCGCACGTACTTTTCTACTCCATTTTTTCACTCCACTACAGTATAACAACAAATGACACCACTCCCCACTAGCTGAATTATTTTATCGCACAACACACTTGTTCTCAAGCTCGATGCCGCCACCATCAATATTGAAGCTTTGGTAGCAGTTCGCTGCCCTCTGCCGCAGCTCCCTGTACAAAAACACGACGAATCAGACTAACGAAAATTCTTAAATGGCTGCCGCGACCGCCGTCTCAGAAATTCATTTCACTTTCAGACAAATTACAAAACATGTTTACTTTTAAATAATATATACATTATAGAACTTTTTTATATATACTTTTAGTTTTTATTTCAGTTATGCTTAAAAATAATAAATATATTTTAATCACTTTATATAAAATAAATATTTAGTTCTGCTTATTTCTTCTGCTAGAACTTTAGACAATAACAACAAATTAACAAGATGTGGGAAGGAGCATTAAAAAACAACACAGTTCGTGGTGAACAAATGACAGATCGTGGTGAAAAGTTTTTTAAATAGAAATAGTACTAAAAGCTCACAAACAAAAACTATATATTTTTGATGTAAAAAGTATAATATTCTTACAATAAATTTTTTTAAAGAATATAATATTTGCAGTTTCATATATTCAAATAAAGAATTAAATTACAGTTTAACATTGTCTTAAAAACTTTTTTCAACAAAAAATTTTATATAATTAGTGTTGTTTTTTTAATGAATACTTACTTTGGCTACTCAACTTATCTAATAAGCAGTCTTCAGTATTCGACGAATTTTTAATTAAAGCATTACAAAATAAATTCTATAATATATATAGAAACTCATGTCTTTATTTCGAATACTAAGTCTCTTAGTTTTGTTAAATTATTTGTATGAGGTTAATGATTTATACTGGATAAATTAGAAAATTAATATGGCAATAAAATAAAGATAATCGCTGGGCAAACAGCTATTTAGCCACAATATATCTCAAATGTAGAATTATTACATATGTTTCTTAACTTACTGATTGAAAAAATTGTATTTGTTATATGTTGATTTGATGTTTCTTATTATTCTTATTCTTCCAAATACTTATTGCCATTTCTTGTAAGGCAGATGTAATTATAAATAAATATAAAAAAAAAATGTGAAGTGATCAATTATTATTCAAGTGAATTTTTCAAACCGGTAGATCGGTATCGGTAGATAGATATGTATTGATTAATATATTCCTTTACCAGTGTAAATGGTGCAGTTAATTTTTTTAATGTAGTTTGAATTTTCATTCTTGACAAAAAGTTTTAAAAAACTTTAACGCATTATTTATCAGGGCAAAATGTTATCATGTACTAATGCTCGGCTAGGCTCAGCTAAGAATTATAGTAAAGCTTAAACTGAAATATATCAAAAATATCAATATTTAATTTAGTGAAGCTGAAGTTAAACTCTACTTTTAAATTATATATTTGATATTTTAGAGTTAAAATGTATGTTTGTAACACATATCAGCGAATAACAAATTATATATAAGACTCATTTAAAATCATTTTAAAATAGTTCAAATTTAACATCTTTAATTACAATCTTAATAAATTTTATTCATTATTTTAATCCGTCTATCTGTCCTGCGGGTTGGAATTACAAAATACTACTTTTTAGTATTTTCTAAGTAAATAAGTAACTGCTACTGAGTTATTCGTTTTCATTGTGATTATTGAGTACTCGGTACTCAGATCTTGGGTATGTTGCAAGATCTGTCAAAATTGAAAAAGGCTACGTTGTTTGTTTGTTGACAGCCATCTGATGATTTAAGCTTTATGATGTATGTAAATAAAAAAAATAAAATGCTTATTATTATTATTAGCTTATTATTTTTTAACATAGGGTGGAACTAAAAACTATGGAAGAGTCCGATGTGTCTGACTTTGCAGAATTTTTTGTAAAACAAAATATGACAATTGGCGATCAAATTCAAGATTTGTCAAAGCGGCTGCATAATATATCGGATAACTTACAAGAACAAGTACGTAAAAATCACGGAGCACTCTTACAACAAGCAACACATGCTGGACGCTTTGATGCCGCACTTAATGTGCTAGTAACCGATGTGGACGCAATAAAAGCTACGGGTCAACGCTTGAAAAATCAAGTGGACACCCATTATAGTATAGTAGAGAATCAAACAAAAGTTTTGGCACGCTTGCATGAATTGTCTCATCTTCTTCGGTCAGCTGGAACATTACTTACATTAACTACGAAATTAAAGAATACAAAGGATGTATTGAAACAAGCAGAAATTCATTTTGAATTGGCTCCATTGGTAGACGACAAAGATTTGAAGGATATAGATTTCATACAAAGTGAGAGAACATTCGTTATTAATTCCAGACAAAAAATACGTAATTTGACACAAATGCAACTGGTGACAGGACTACAGGAACGCAATGAAAATCAAGTTATTAATGCATTAAAGGTGAGTATAGTAAATAAATAAAGTACAAATTATTTTAAAAATAAATAACTTTATTTTCAGATTTTTATAAATTTTAATACCTTAGATAAATCACTTGAAAATTTGTTAGCTACTTTTATCACTGATTTAGAGCAATCCTTAAAAGAATGTTTTGCTGGGAATGATATAACAGTGCTAGCAAGACCAGAAACAAGTAAAGCGGCTGCTGCAAATTTAAGCAAGCCTAGCAGTGTGATACGTGGCCCTGGTAAAGCACCTCAATTAACAACAACACAAAATTTTCGTGCTAAATTTTGGAAATCACTGCATTGGCTTATTTATGATGAACTTTATGAAACCTGTGAGCAAATTAAATTGCTTAAACGTGCTTTGGAAAGTGTAAATCAATTTGGTTACATTTTAGAAAATGAGCAGTCAGTACAAAAACGCTTCTGGCAATCAGTACAGAAGTTGCTGCATGATTCATTCACAGAATGTCCCGCACATGTATCACAAACATTGCAAGAAGGTCTCTCAAAATTAATGACGTCTGCAAGAGGTTTAGAACAGCGCCTTAATCAGGAATTTTTATTTGATAGCCATATTTTTATATCACTAGAAGTAGGTTATGTGACTAAGTGTACAGCAAATATGAGAGCCACTTTAGCAGGTGTTGATTTGCCATCCAATGAAACTGTAGACAATTTCATAAGAGTTACTTCGACAGAACTAAGTGCTGCACTAGTTGATGAACAACTTTCCAATTCTATTTCAAAGGTTTTCATTGCTTGCAGCAAAGAGTTATGTACCAAACTAGAATCACAAATAAAATTGGGTGCTGATTCCAAACAAGTAGTTGATATGCCAAACTTTCAGCAAACTCAAAATATATTGCTGGCAAATATATTGTATTATTATAAAGACTCTGTGCGACGAATGCTTGTTGACTTACAAGGACAATTTTCTAAACTGAAGACTACTGCACACACTGATATAAACAAATGCTTAGAACAAGTAGATTTGCTAATAAGTACCATTCTTCAGCAAATCATGGATTCTATCATATCTACTATTTGCATTATTATTTTAAGTATGCACCGTGAACCGGGCTTAAATTCCGAAAAGATTCCTGTTGCTGGCCCATCTATGTACATGAAAGAATTACAGGTACTTAATGCTGACCATATTATCACCACATTAAATATTATTAATTAACAATCTATTTAAAGGAATTTGTATTACGTTCTTGGACGAATCATATTGAACCATTTGATGACAAAGAAGTTTTATATAAATGTGGTCAAGAATTAGCTAAACGTTGCATTGAATTATTTATACATAACGTTAGTATTTTAAGACCCATTAGTAATGCAGGTCGACAGCGTTTAAAAAATGATTGTATCTTTATGGAACAGGTGTTGAAACCTATTTGTCTCAATATTTCAGAATTAGGAAATCCAGCGCGATTATTACGCGCTATGTCTTTTTTGATAGTACAGCAACCAGATGAATTAATAAGTCAAACAGTTGGTCCAGATTCATTAGTACCTAGTTATATAGTATTGTTTCTGTTATTTGGACATGGTTCATTGGAATTGCAAAGTCCACACACAACTGCAAATTGGTCAAATGAACGCTTAATTGAATGGCTTGATGGACATACATCAGAGCGTGAGAAGCTAGAACTAATTTCTGGCGCCTTGCAACGGTATCGAGACACTGTTAGAAGAAAAAACAGCGAACAGTATGATGAAGTTTATCCCTTATTGGTAGAGTTTTTTGAAAAAGCTTTAAAAGCATATGCTTAATTTCAAATTAAATTTAAATATTTTAATTTTAAATATGCCTGTTTATAAAACAATTGTTTAAAAATTTTTATTTATGTATGTATTGAAATATGTACATTTATATGAAATAAATTATAAATTCTTAAATTATTTAAAATTGCTTTTGACTTCTAAATCATAAGGAAATTTTAACGAATAAATTATTTTACAAAGTTAACAAAGTCCTATAAATGTGAGATAATAATATATCGATGTACGAAAAATGAAATCGAGGTATGAAAAATTTTTGATGAGGTTTCCGTAAAAATTAAATTAAAAACTTTGTAAAATAAACCAACTTTGAGCTGCCATAATTTCTGAGAAAATTTAAACATACAGATATTAGTGATATTTAATTAAAGTATATTTAATGGAGAAATTCAATTAGTGTACTAAGTTATTTAAACAAGCACTTTTTGTAATATAAAGGATTTTTAGTCTGAATTCTTTTTGAGAAGACTTTTGACATCTTGTATCTCGATAAATATTTAAAATAGAATATCTCCTCTTCACAAACATTTTTTTTAATTTTTTCAACCAAGGAATCATACCCCGCGTGCGATATTTCACATTAAGCAACATATGAAGAAGTTATTGTACAAATATAAATGAATGTAGAAAATATGGTATATCATCATCAAAAAGGATGAATTCTTAGTTGTAAACAGACACCATTTTTATGTTTTAGATCCTTTTGTTGTTGAATGGAATAAACCGATATAATGTTTCTCTATTTCTATTTTAATAATCACCTATTTGGGAATGGGGGAGTTATTAGCTATTATATAGGAAATATATTAAAATTAAAAAGAGTAATTTAATCAAATAGATTAATTTAATTATCATTATAATAAGTATAATTAGATTTCAAATAATTAATTATTATATTTTAAATCCATTCGAAAAAAAAATACAATTCACTGATTCAACCAATTATTTTTATTCAAAAACTATTAGAAGTAATATTTCATAATGTAAAAAAGCTCCATGAGATAATTGTTCCCTCTTATTCTGACGGAACAATGATGAAGTTATGGAACGCATATGTTTCAGACAGTATTTTGCAGCGAAAATATATAACTTGTTCTGTTCAAGCCCGAGGAGGGTGGCAATACATCAATTGAGAAAGTAAAGGGTATGTTGCTGAACGCTAAAAAGGTCTATGTTGTTAAGTTTATTCCACGTAAGGAGCGTGAGAAGGAACTCGGTGAGAAAGCAAAACTTTTCACAAATTTTTATGTCAAAAATTTTGGTAAAGATTTTCATCGTAAATAATTCAATTGTAAATAATAGAATAATAGACATTTACAGTTTATTACAATAGGATAACATTCTTTTTATTATTTTTTGGCTCTTTTATCTGTCACAAAATCATTAATTTAATTTAAAAAAAATATATAAAAATAACTATAAATAATAGCACAAATAAAATTATTTATAAATTCTAGAATTTTTCTAATTAAAATATATTAATTATATCATAATTCCAATATTTTATATTATAATATAATTATAATCGCTAAAGTATCATATAATGTTGCATATATATTATATACACCGTTATATAACATAATAAATTACAACAGAGTTATATGTTATATTATGTATCGCATTAAATGTATAAAGTAAGATAGATCACATCAAAATATACTATATGATGCAATACATATCACATACATATATCATAAAGAACAGAGTATGTACATATTACAGTAATTATACAATATATCATATAATATAAAATTATAAAAATAAGTTGATATATTAATCTGCCATATATATAATATATGTTAAATATATATCACAGATATAAATATATTTACAGCAAAGAATATGTTTTATATAAATCATTTTCATTTGATATAAAAATATATTATAAGAAATTAGTACAAAAGATCTTTTAATATTGTAGTGGTTTTGTATTTTTGGGGGCCACATTAACAAGTGTTTTACTGTTATGTTATAATTTAATCAAATTCATAAACTTAATTTTTATCAATTCATTTATCAAATAACATAATTATAACTATTAATGTAAGTATTTTATATAAATTTTATAATTTAACACAAAATTGTAATATTAAATTAATATAACTTAAATAAAGTATATAAAGAATTATACATGAATACATATGAAGATATATATTAACTTAAAACGAATTAGATTGAACCAAGTCCAAGTTGGTGTAATCCAGCTATTAGCTTACTGTTGGTAGACATAACTTTCATAAGTTCTATTTCACGTTGCTGCATAACCTATAACGAAAACATATAAAACATATAATATTATATTTAATTTTAAAATTCTTCTTAGCTAATAAAACTGACTTTAAAAATATTATTCTGCTCCATTTTCGCCAGTTGATTAGTAATATTCTCTGCTAAGGCATCTACATCTGTTTTCAAATCCATTTTCGTATTATAAAGTTCATCACGTATTGTATTTAATTTACGTTCACTATCCCGAACATCCTTTTCTAATATTTGAGTTTTTAAATATACGGTTTGAGCCAGTTTATACCAATCGGCCAAGCATTCAGCCATTTGCGCTACTGCAGGCTTAACATCGTCCAATAATAAAGCTTTGATGCGTTTTCCATTGCGATCAACCTACATAAGTAAATGAAAAGTTTCTGAATAATTAATTTTTTCAATTCAAATTATTAAATAGAGCACAGACTTATGGTTAATAGATTTACTTTAATACATATCTGAATTTGAAAAACTTACTTTAATTTTCTCCAACGCATGAAATTGTTCATCATTATATGTTAAGGTCCGTGTGGCACGATCACGTAACAAATGCTGCCAGGAGTCACGTAAACGCTCTACCAAGTATTTTGCTTGTGCACTGGCACGTGTACGACATGGACATTTTTTACCATGCATTGAAGACGACCATTGGTCACTTTAAATATATAATATTTAATATTAGCGGATTTTTTTAAAATTTTTGTTAGTGCTACTGACTTTTTAAAACGATAAATTAATATACAAAAAATAAAATAGTTATATATATATTTAATATCTTATAAAAGATATCTTCCACAAGAGAGATTCTATAACAATTTAATTAATAAAATAAAAATTATAATAATAAATATTAAAAATAATAGTTAATAAAAATAATAAATAATTGTAATAATAATAATATTCAAGATTGGCCGTAGAAAAAAAAGAAATATTGAACTTGTATGAAACAATGATCTGCAACATAACATAAAAACTGTAGAATTACAATCACGGACGTTAGGTCTCATTCAGAAAGCAGTTATACTGGATAACTGATATTTTAAGAAGCACATTAAATTTATATTAAATATATAATTAGCATGATACAGTAAAATTCCCCTCCTTGTATTTTTTTCTCCGTAAGTCGAACTTCTCTAACTCGAATAATTCCGGAACTTAAAGTAAAAATTTATATAGCCTTTCACCACTTGCTTTTAAATGTATCTCCACAACTTGAATTTTTGGTTTAGTCTTTATATTTTCAAATACTTTTGTGAGTTATTTTTCTAACTTGCGCGACATTATTCGATTCTAAATTTCGGCGACCGCCCAGAAGTAACATATGGTTGTGACACATGGAGATTAACTGTAACTGAAGCAAACAGGATAGCAGTGTTTGAAAGAAAAATAGACAGAAAAATTTTTGAAACCGTGGAAGAAAACGGGATGTAACAATCAAAAACTTTATGAAAAAGCAGCGATTAAGATGGGTTGGACATGTGATAAGAATGTTCGATATGAGAGTACACCTTAAGATTTATAAGAACGAAGTAGTGACCAGCAGAAGAGAAGGGCGACAAAAAAAAAACAATGGAAAGACAGTGTGTAGCAGGATTTAGAAGAAATGAATATAAGAAATTGGAAAACAAAATCAAAAAACAGAGAAGAATGGAAGACTGTTGTCAAAGATGCTTAGGTTCTACATGGACTGTATAGTCACGGATGATGATGATGAAATTTCGGCGACACTTAGATGGCTAACAATTGCTATTATTACTGTAAATTTTCTCAATGCGATGATAGAGTTGTGCTTATTGTCAAAGAATCAGTAACCTTTCAATCACAAACATGGGTAAAAGAAATTTGAAACGTTTTGGACAATCACGGAAAAAATTTATTTTATTATTGAAGTAGATAAAGGTGATAAAAACACCGCATCTATGATTTTTAAAAATAAGGACAACTTAAAAGGAAAGTTCTCTAATAATAAACAATATGTAAATTCAATTTAAAAGTATTTTTTCTATAACTCGTAGTCGGCAAAAAAGTTCGAGTTAGGGGAATTTTACTGTATATGTTTTGTGTAGAATTAAGATCCCCAAATGTAGTGCTATTTAAGAATCAAAGGTGTAAAATAAAAAATAATAATATTCATAATGGTAGCAATAATAATAATTATTTTAAAAATATATAACCCGCTATTAAGGCGAAGTCAAAAAAAGTGCGAAGGGTCAATGAAATAAATCTCATAACATATATTAAAAATTCTAAAATTATGTTTTAAGTGTTATGTTTTTAAATTTTTTACACAAGCATAATTACTGTATTGTATATAAAAGTTAAGTACAAAAAAATTCAAAAGAAATCATCAATAACTTACTTTAATGTATCTTCCACAACAAAGTTTCTATGCATTTGTATAATTACATCGGCAGCTCCATCGAAATTTGTCTTTAAGTCGTTTAGAGTTGTAGTTAGTGATTTAAAGTCCTGATCGCTTTTTGTCTAGCAAGTATACATAATTATTAAAATTTAATTTAATTCAAGCATTATGTTATATAAAATGCTTATAATGAACTTATAATGTGCTAATAGATATATTAGGTCTGTTCCACGAGTTAGTCGTAGTAACTTTGAGTAACACTGAGTAACAATAACACAAGAGCGTTCCAGCAGCAAATTTTCGTTTATTTTCGTGTAAATTTTAGTTGTGTTTTACTTGAGTTTTACTACGAGTAGCTCGTGGAACAGACCTATTGTGTGTGTAGATAAAAATAAGCATATATATATATACATATATGTATATATGATACCAAATGCACAATTAAACAAATGGTTATTTCTAAAGACCACCGATTATGGATATTTGACGATATCTGAAATACTTCAATGGTCAGATCAAGAATTCATTTCACTAAATATTTAAATTTTGGATTTAAAAATTTTCACTATTCGAAGTAAAATTCTTATCATTGGATATAAAAATTTTAATTAAAAATGTCTACTTTAATTTAATATAATTAAGGAATATTTACCATTTTAGCTACACTCTGCAAAAAGTCAGCATATTCTATTATCACTACTAAGAGCGCATCGAAATATTTGGTTTTTCTAGAAACAATTAAATATATTAATTAAAAAAATATATAAAAAGTGCATCACTATTGAATAGTGCAAATTGTATGCACTCACTTTAATAATAGTGTAATTGTTGTAACTAGAGTCTCAATAAACTGTTCTACGCCTTTTTTAATTAATACATCCATAGTCGTGAATGTGTCCACACGTCTTTTGCACTCATGTCCAACACTGCACGCGGCCTACAAAATACAAAATGTTATTTTTTAAATAAATACTCATCAAATATATTATATATATATTTATTTAAAATAATAATTATTTATAATTTACTATCAAATACACCAAAAAATTAACATTAAATTACCGAAACTTTAATACCCTACACACTCTGCTTACTTAAATCTTTCTGACGCCCAATTCAATGCATCCTTTATATATATCCTTTATGATATATGGTACATGATATGGTATTTCTGCGCTACATGATGTAGCCATCTAATTTCATTGATATTTAAACTTCATATGCCTGAGACCACAAAAAGTCCCAACATCATATTTCATGACTACATGCATACTAACTGATAGACGGACATGTATATCAACGGATAGATGGATGTTGTTAAATTAATACATCTTACGATGCTGATCAAGAACATATATATTAAATTTATATAAACACTGCACCCATTTTCATAACATTATAAAAGTTTTTTTTAAACCTTAATTTCCTGTAATTAGAATACTATTACAATGTAACGAAACATTATTACATATTAATACTCTAACAATATTATAAACAATAATAAAAATATTTTTAATATAATAGTACTTTAGTTTTAATATTCTAGCTTACATGGTAACTATTGAAAAGCATTTATTAAAAAAAAAATAATCATAAATAACCTTAAAATATTTTTTTGAAATAATTTATAGTGCTTTAGAGAAGCATTTTTTGCACTATCTATTTATAATTCTCCTTAAGTTAAAGTCACAAACTGTATATTAATACACATTACTTAACACATTTACTGATTCAGACTCATTAATTTAATGGTATTAGATATATTAAGTTTAAAATGTAATTGAAATACAAATCATACTTGTATATAGTAGAACATGATATGTGAACTTGAAGAATTGCAATTACCAAGTAATGTTATTGGTTAATGCTCAAAGGGTAATTTTAATCATTACTGATGCTGTTTAAAGCATTTCACATAACAGTTAAATAAGGCGAAATCAATGTTAGTTATAATATTTTTTTTCTAATCGTTGGAGTCTTTGCGACAAACAGTTGGATACACTTCCCACAGCGAGATATATAACAAATCAATTATATACTATTATCTGGTGATTTTGTGTGAGATTTGCATGATATACGAGTATTAGTCCTCTCCGCTGTCACACTACCATTGTGTATTCACATCCTAACCCATGTATATAACTAATGTCTTTGTAATTCCTTTCAAATTATCTGCTTTACAGATTCTTGTGGGGTATAACAACAACATATACGAGTATATATTTGATATATATATTTGATCTATATTTATTCATGGCAGTTTCAGATCGGAGTTCGACTGAAGATTGTTTAGATGATAAACAATGTTCTGAACCAACAAAACTAGGGGCGATATGGATATTTTTAAATTTATCAGATTTATCAAGAATATATAGGGCACTGAAGTTTTCTATATCATCTTCATTACTGCGTTATAAACATCTCGTCGAACCTCAAATGCCTTGTATGAAGAGTATAAAAAGTAATATATTACTTATGTATATACACAGTATATAAGAAAAAGTGTGTAGAGATTAATTTGTTTATTGATTTTATAGTTGTTGTTTATTAACTATTTCAACAGTTGGGTTCAATAGCAATTTAGTCTTTGAATCATATATTATATTATGGTGTCCATTATATAATGAAATATAATTTAGCATATAAAAAACATTATTTAGATTTTCACAGAATAATTCAAAATGTTATAATTGAAATTGTTAATAGGGTTTCAACATATAGAACGTTGTGCAAAAGAAAAGGTCAATGTCTAAGATGGATAGAAAAGATAGCAAAAACTGCAGTTCAGTTTAGAAAAAAAAATGTGTCAATGTTATAAAGGATAGAGACGGATAGATTTATGACGAAAAACAAAATCCATTTCGAATCACAAAATAATGGTTTCAATACTCTATCTACACTCCCTGTTTTGAATACTTTTTTCCACATATTCTTCTGACCTCGTCCTGTTTTCAGGGTTCCCAAATGAGTCACAACAACAACCACATGATGATCATAGCCAGTGGCGTAACTACAAGGAAGTGACTGGAAGCAACGCTTTCGGGCCCCCGAATTTAGGGAGCCCCATTATAAATTTATATATTCATTATATAAGAAGACACATTAAAGAAATTACCAAAACTAGTCAATTTTCTATTAATAAATTAAAACAAAAGTGAAGAAGTAAACGATTTAAATAATGTCTTTGCTAATTGTGATACACAGAATAAATTGACACATTCTTCAAATACTGAAACAGACTTCAAAATCATTGATAAAACAATAAACAAATCAACTGATATTGGGCACTATATTAATGTCAAAATTGCTGATGATATTAAACGCTTATTAATTAATAATTCTTCCGACCACGAGAGATTACAAGGGCCATTTTCGAAGGATCCTATTCAAGAAAATAGACGTTTCAATGTTTCATACTATAATTTAAAAACAAAATATGGAACAGTACCACGACTTTGGTTTTACTATTTATAGTTATTGGATTCAGTATATTGTAAGCCGTGCTGGTTATTTTCTAATCATACAAATCAATGGTGTTCTGGATTTCGAGATTGGAAAAATTTGTCAGGAAAAATAAAAATACATACATCTATAAGAATTAGTAGACCAATTTCAATCAAATCAAATGGTGAACAGAGTCCGTTTCCGAAAAGTATGTGTATAAAGTTTCATTCGAAGAGTTCAAAAATTGAGAGAGTAGTTTGAATTGAAAAAGTATATATACATATACTCAACATAATGAGTCAGTGCAAATGAGCACTTTTACTCTCTATTAACTGCGAGATTTCTTCAAAACCCCTCTTTGCGCCTTGACTAGATTATTGTTTATCACTTCATCAGACTAAGTAATAATTGACCTCAGATCTGCATATATATTTTATGGTATTTTCGACGTTTCCTTTAATGCGTTACGAAAATCTTAACAAGTCTAATATACCCTTTTTATACTTTTTCGTGTAAAGGGTATAAAAAGATGTTAGTAGGAGGCCCTTAGTTAGAATTTGCTTATTGGCTAAAAAAATATAGTTACGCCACTGATCATAGCATATGACGGTTACAAATTAATATTAGTGGTGTATATATAAATTGTTGGAAAGAATTCGATAGCTTTGATGAAAGCTTTTGATATTTAAAATAATAAAATCTTTATACCAAAAGTCATAACTTAAAGTTGTTTTATGCTAAATAAGGTTTAAGAAGTTAAAGCATCAATGTGCAAAATCAGAGATTGCAAACATTATACACTAATAGAATTTAAAAAAAAATAAAAAACTTTTATGCATAATTAGAATATATATCAAACAAAATTACAGACATATGAATACCTAAACTCATCATATAAGAATCTAGAATTGCTCTTGCTTAACTATGAAATTGTTGGATGTACAATTTGTTATGTTAATATAAATTATATAAATGTAATATTTGTAAAATGGAGAGTGCGTGAGATGGTTTAAATGTAATATAATAAAATTAGTAATTATATAAAAAAATATACATTTTAGCATTAGCAGTAACATATTTATATAAAAAAATCAAAAAGAAACACGTACAGTTTTTTAGTTCAAATTTTATAGACTAAGAAAATAAATTATTTACATTAATATATTTGCACGTAACTAAAATGTGTAAGAAGCTATAAAACTATATGAAGATATTTAAATACCTAATCTGTTATATTTCAGCAAAGCAAAAATAAATTTAAAGCTAACTTGAAATAATAATTATAATGATAGTAATTAACCTTTGCTAAACTGGCGTCATTTTCTACTGATACATTATTGGGAAATATTGGAAACTTGGGTAGGTCTAACTGCTGCGGTAGTTGAACATTATTATCGTCATTGCTGTATAAAAACACTGGATTTTCTATTGTTGTTGCAGGGAAAGCTTTAGCTGAAAATATGATCGTTTTAATCTGAAGCCAAATATTTAAGCCAAATTATTTATTTTACCGATTGTACGTGGGGACACCTTTTTCTCTATATGTTCATTATTGAATAATAAAATTTGTTTTTCCAACGGTACTTCGGTCTGTAAAAATATACGCTCCCGGAAATTGTCTATTTGTTCTTCTGGTTCAAGAAACACTTCAACTGAACTGGTACGATTTATATAAAAAACGTGTATCACTCGTTTACGTAAGATTAATGTGACTTCTTGAAAAAAGCGATCAAATGACCACGTCTTTTCCCGGTTTTCTTCTAATAATCCTGCTAAAAGTGGTGTCACTAACGTTTTTAATCCTTCAGATAGATGACAGTGTGGTGGTAGAGTATTTGACCACTCTATGGGTCCATTCTCCGATAATTGTGTACCAGAAATTACACCGGATGCTTTTTTCGTGGTAATCTGATGCATGGTTTCCCGATTTTTTCGGCCACCATATGGTCTAAATGGCAAATTACCAGTAGCAACATGATAAAGTGTCACACCAATTGACCAGAGATCAACATTAGCCGTAAAGGAACGATTTATTGACTTTCGCAAAACTGCTCGCTCATAGAGATCTGGATGTAAATACTCTTCAGTACCATAAAGGGAAGCAAATGGCTGATTATCTTCCAATTCACGAGCTGCTCCGAAATCTGTAAGTTTATATATAGTTTGACCATCTTCTGATATAAACTTCATTATGTTGCCAGGTTTGAGATCACGATGTACCAGTTTATTATCGCGTAAATGTTTCATACCAGCACAAAGATGCTCTAAAACTAACAAAAATTCTCTTTCTGGTAAGCCATATGAGTTTTCTGGATCATCTAGTATGTTAAATAAACTGCCACCTGTGCACAGTTCCATAACAATTACTTTTCCACGTCCCTCCTGATCTTCTTCTATCGCCAATAGTTTGACAATATTTTCATGGTTAACTTTTTTCAATGCTTCAAATTCTCGCATTTGTACATCTGGTGGGCGCATATGACTGTATGGGTTAAACGTTTTTACTGCAACCGACTCACCCGTATTTTTATTTACGCCCTACATAAGGATTTCGAATTAAATGTAAATACATTTCTTTGTTTGTTGAATTTCTTTACCTGAAACACTGAACCAGTAGCACCTTTACCCAACACACTTGTTGTACACCAGACATAATTAAGTGAACCTCTTAAAAATGACATTTTTTATATTAAAACAAAACTATGTAATTTCACAAATATTGTTTTTATTGACTTTGCTATAATATTTATATGTTCTACACTTTTTTTTTATAATTACTAAATTTTTACTAAGTTGATATAACATATACAAAATACAAATGTTTAGAACGCTTAATTTAGCATTTCTATAATTTAAACAATTACTATATATTACTATTATTGTATTATATTATAACAAGAAAAGCAGTTCACCTGCACAACAGCCATTTTACAGTCGCTGCATTTTAAAAGTAGTCGGTATTTATTTACATTGTACAAAGTACCCGGATGACTTTCAGATATAACAAAGAATGGTTATTGCGACAAGTACATGTACATTTAGGGCCGATTTAAAATGCGTATCTTCATATTTGTATTAAAATTAGTTCAATCAATGTTAATTCAAATAATTTATTTAATTATATTATTGTATAAATATTTACAGTGCCATGCATTACATACATTTTTTATTCTTAGAAATACATGAGAGTTAAAACATTTTAGTGGCAACACTACAAAGTTTTCAGCTGATTCCGCCCTACAATATTATTTACATTAAAAACAAAAACATATTTTAAGTATCGAATTAATTAAGTTTATTAAAATAGTATATAAATAATAATGACGGACGACATAAAAAAATATTTCAATGGACTACTGCAAAAGTAAATAAAACTAATCGATCTTCAATACATTCATGTTATAAATGTTAATTATCTTACAGGGTAAATGGATTATATGTTATACAGATAACGGATCGTGATGGTGTGCCACTACTGAGGGTAAGTCATGACCAGAATGTGGATTTCTCTTTAATGCCTTCATTTATACCAACATTTACTACCGCCAGCGATCAAGCTGGCAAATTAGGATTAGGGCGAAATAAAACCATCATTTCCATGTACTCCAATTATCAGGTTTGTAAATAAAGGTTTATTGTGCCCATATACAGTAACAATTTGTTTTAAATTTCTTTTGCAGGTAGTTCAAATGAACAAATTGCCATTAATATTAACATTTGTTGGTGCGGAAGATTGTAACACTGGGCACATTTTAGCTTTAGAGCATCAATTAGATGCACATTTAGAAGAGATTAAAATGGCTGTCAGTGAAGCATAAGGCCGTTGATGGCATATTAAAAAAATATTTTCAACAGCTTCATTACGTATTATATATATTATATTTATGTTATCAATACATTTAATATATATTTGCCTATATTCAATTAAATGCAATGTATATATATATTAAACGTATTTAAGTTAAAAATTTTTTATATATAATCTATATCATATAATAATATATATAATATATGCATATATATATAAGATATAATTATGTAAATACCTATAGAATAAAAATTTATATAACTTTGCAAGTAATCAATTCGAATCTTACTTGTAGTTGTCTTTATATATATAGTTTAGTAATTAAGAATACATACTGATAATAACTTAATTCTATTTAATGTTTGACGTGGTAAGGTTTCTCCAGTTCTATATAAATAAATTATATTATCCTACCAATACTTACTATATCCTTACTATGTTTCGCATATATATTGTGTATAACTTGTAATCCATTAATATTCCTACTTCAAATTTGTATATTATATTTAATTCTACAAATGTTGCTGAAGACTTTGTCAACTTTAGTTTTAAAAGTTTTTGTTAAGTTTGAGGGATCTGGTACTCCAGCCTAAATATCTTGTGTACTCTGTTCACAGTTTGAAAGTAAGTCTAGTTCTCAAAATAAATTGTATTATCGAACCTACTTCACCGAATCTTATTTATTCGTTCGGTTGATAATATATCAATCTTAGTAGCTGTATTGTATATGTTTCATTTTAGGCGCCGGGCAGACTTGTATAGGTAAATTATCTTAGTAAAGCGCACGTTTCTCCTTTTTGATTCTGCACGAATGAAAAAAAATTATTTCTTTCTGAGCCACAGAATAAAAATTTTTAAGTGAAACACACATCTTTTTGTTTAAGTACGTACACCTGTTCATCGCGTACATTTTAACTTAAAAATGTTTGTGTTGTTGCCTTGCGCTTCCAAAGTTTCGAAATGACTATGTCTCCTAATTTTACCAATAGTTCATCTACTATTATAGTCTCCATACCTTACTGTGGTAATACTCGTCTTGAGTTCGATATTATATTTTCAGAACCAATCGCTATCTATATCTTCCTAACTTCTAATTATAGCGTCATGGAAAGTGTTATTAAGGGCAGCTTCTATATATTCTGTTCTGAAGAATGTTAGCTATTTGACACCGAACTAGCTCTATAAAATGCCCAACTATACGTTGTTGTCTTAAGACGCTATTATTTATGCTCCTTTGACTGCTCTGGTAGCTTATGTCGCAATTTTGTATACATTTAGATAAATGCTACGTTTGCAATAACAAGTATGTCCATAACGTATGCCGGAATGTCAATCTGTTTTCTTTGCTGCATATCTTTGATATATGGATCCACTAACAGAAGGTATACAATTTCATGCAGAAAGGAAATAATATAGTTTCAAAAAATTGTAAAACATTTAAAAATTTATTTTATTAAGTTATATTCATTATATCTCTACATATACGCACATACATCAAAGGAATGATAATTTTAATATAAAAAGAAAATTTTAAATAAAAAATTTAACATTTTTTAGAATGTGTAGCATTGCAAAATGATTTTTTCTCTTTTAAAAATTACTTAATATTTATGAGTTTTACAGATGAGTTCATTTTAAATGTTTACGTTTTTCTTTCACAATAATATACTAAATTATATTGTGCAAGCACCAATGAATTTTAAGTTCTGGAAACAATTTCGATATAATAGTAGCTAATAGTAGCTTAAATGAATGCAGCATTTTCGCATAATAAGGAACTTTCTAAAAATACTGCAGTTTAGTATACCTTTGCTTTGTATCTCATACATGCATGCCATGCCACACATTCATAAAGACTACAATTTTACTTACATTTTTAGAAAATAATTTATACTAAATTTTTAAAGCTCGTCGTGACGATCCTTTTCAGCGGCTATAAAAGCTTCATGATCACAAGCGGCAGGAGTTTCAAGGTCAAAGAAATATTCGCAACGATTAGGTTCTGTAACAGATCTGATTGCTGGTTCCAAAGCACATTTTAGATGAACTACAGCTGAACGTTGCGGTCCATTCCAGCATGAAGCACCATGTGCATATCTTTGTTTTGAATATTTGTTATTTTCATCTCCGTACCATTGATCCCAACGACCCAGCGTTGTCTCTGAGCCACCACTTCGTGATTTCTGAGAGGCCCGATCGAATGGACATAACGTGTAAACATATTCACGATCTTCAAATGAATAACATTCGCCATCCATTGTAGCGTATTCTTCATTTGGACCATAGTCTTTCGCGTTTTGGTCATCAATATCTTTAATTTCCCGATCAATTTCACGTAAATTTCTATCCACCTCATCAAAAGCGTTACGAGCTTCCTGAGCAATATCAACTAGACGCTGCGTTTCAGGATCATATTCTTGTTTATTTTCAGGTGTAACAGAACCAACGCCAACATCTTCTTCCTCGTCCTCGTAAGTTTCCTCTTCTTCTGCATCAGCATCTTCTGTATTGTGAGTCTCTGAAAATATATGTGTAAATGCTTCTTATAAATTTTTGACAATATTAATTAATAATGTTATTTTAAATTTTTACTGGGAAATATTGATTCTTTGACATTGTCGACATTAGCGATAGAGAATATATGAGTCGTGATCATTTTCATTTCCATGCTTATCTTGAGTAATACTTGTAACCATTAATCAAACTTAAAGAAAACAAAATTAAATAGTAATTATACAAGTAAAATTTTTTTTTTTTTACAAAAGTTTCTTCAAATACTAATCCATTTTTCCCCATATAATTTCCCCATTTTCACACAAAAATTATTAAAACTATTTATACCTAATATACAAGTATATTTATTTGTTTATATATATATTATTTACTTACCTTTGTTATTATCTGTTGTGTGCTCTGGTTGTTCAACTTTTTCATCCTGGTGCAGCTCTGCTTCTTCTGTTTCTTCTGCAAATGGAGGTCTAAATAAGCCCTGGGCTAACATTTGGACTGGTTTGATACGTGGCCATGACAATGCTAAAAATCCATCAAAGTCTATACGATCTCGTTCATCTAAAAAGTATTTGGCCTCATCCACAGTAACAACGCCATTACGATCCCTATCCAATGTCATATCAATTTGCAATTCCGTAACTTCAACAAAACCGTCCTTATTTGTGTCATAACGTACAAAGTTTGCTTCTGCTTCCATACGTAAGTTATGGGGTTCTTCAGCTAACTTCGCCTCTTCTGCAGCTGCAGCATCCAGTTCACGTTGTTGCTCCTTATAAATTTCTAATGCATCAGCTTCTGCAGCTTCCGCATCACGCTTTATGTTTTCCTTTTCTGCTTTCAGTGCCTCTTGTTCGCTGCGTTGTGTTTCCAGTTCAGCACGTCGGGCAGTACGTTCTGATTGCATTTGTTTACCTTTTGTTATCAATTCATCACGTTTGGCAGCACCACGCATATGCAAGTCAGCCTCGACTTTTCGTTTTAACTCTTCAGCGCGTCCCAGTTCGTGGCAATTATTTTTACATTTTTTTCCATTATTTTCAACTATTTCATCGCTACCGTCACAGCAATCACAAATGCCATCGTCTACGCGCGAGCTAGGAATATCCTGTGGAATGTGTCCCTGATTTGTACAATGAAAATGTCCATTCGAGCAGGCTGCTGTGCCCGGCTCATCGCTGCCATCATCGCAATCGCAATAGTCATCGTTAATTCGATCATACGGTATAGTTCTAATTCCATCCAGACAAACCCAATTCTTGTCATGCGTTGGTTGATATAATGATGCATATGCAAGTGATACTCCGCGAGGTCGTGTTGAACTCGCACTTGTTGTTGTTATAGCCAATAATGCCAGCAGAACAAGTGTCAGTGAAACGGCCATTTTTAGTTCACTGTAGAACATCATAAGGTGGACAGTCTTACGTGGTTATTAACGCTATTTTCCGATTTTTTTTTAAATTCCCCCGTTATTGTTATTTTGCAATTTACCGATCAAAAACACGATTGACAAAAGATAAAACTCCGACAACCGGCACTTTATGAAAAGCGCTGTGTTTATTTGTCAAAAGCAAATACAGTAAAATAATGCGTTTGTAAGCTTTGCAAAACTTTTTTGCTATGTCACGTTAGTGATTTTATAGCACAGCACATACACACACTTATGTATGGACAGTTTCATTGCTTCAGCGAATTGAGAATATAATTAAAAAAAATGGATTGGACAACAATTGTTGTGTAAATCCATTTAATAATACAAAAACCAAATTAAAGAATTCAATATTTGCAATTAATATAAAATATTCGATTATTTCTTAAAAAACTCTGTGCTGAATTTAACAAATTTGAATATACATATTAACATAACATACATATTATGGATCATAACAGTTTATCTATATTGTCTTCTCCGTTACAAATATACATTTGTTAATCGCAAACTTACTTCTGCATATACATACATATATGTTATGTTATAGAAGGATAACAAGGATTTATTATTTTCTATATTCTCTGTATTATTGGTGCAAAATCAACTTATACTAGTAAAAAAATCTTTTTTTTAACACTATTCTACACATTTATTTAAAATTTTCTTATTTTGACTAGTATTGATATATTATAATTAAGAGTCTTCATATTTCATATTAAGTAAAATAGGAATTAATTTAAATATTGTCATAGTCTTCATATAAAAATATATACATACATCTTGACCCCATTATTATCCATATAAGTCATATAAGTAATCACAGTTTAGGATATGCATATTATTCTTCTGAGCTCAAAATAGTCAAAAACAAATAGGTATTTATTGACATATTAAAATGTATATGAATGAATAACTGTTTAAAAAATTCTTGTAGTTAATTAGTCTACTGTTTATGCGTATGAAAATCCATTTAAGATGTACCACTTAATGATATATGGTACTATATACCACGTTGTCCTCATTGAAATCACATTTAGGTTTTACCGATGATATACGATTTCTAGTTCATTGCAATTAAAACTAACTTTGGCTATCAAGATTTGTTTAAATAAGTTTACAAATATTATAATTTCATTGAGTTCGTTAACAAAATTGAAGAATTACTGCATTGTATAAAGTTATATATATAATTACTTTATAATATATAATATAGTCACAATATTTAGTAAACCTTGAGATCAAAAAAGAATGAGAATTTTCATTTTTGAATTCCCGCGCTTATCCAATCGGTAACTTTTTCGGGTTAACGCATATCGTACGATTAGTTTTTGTTTGGTTTTTGTGTTGCAAATGGATTCAAGTATGCCAAAACGTTGAAAATGTTAAAAAAAACCTTTGGTGATTTGTGTGTGCCGCAACCACGAGTATACGAATGGTTTAAAAGGTTCAAAGACGGTCGTACAAGCTAGGACCATGATGAGATACCTGGCCGCCCAACAACATCTGTTACTGAAGAAAACATTGAATCGGCGAAGCAGATCGTGTAGGAAAATCGTTGTGAACCGATTAGAGAGATTGCAGTGTTGTGGGGCATCTCATATGGATCGGCTGAACACTTTTTAACTGATATTTTGGGTTTAAAGCGCGTCACTTCTCGGCTGGTGGCAAAAAAGCTGAATTTTATTCAAAAAAAAAGCGTCATTGTGAGGTGGCCAAAGAGATGATTTCCAACGCAGATAGTGACCTCACATTCATCAAACGCATCATAATTGGTGATGAGACATAGCTCTATGAATTTGACATGCCCACCAAACAACAATCGACCGAATGGTGCTTCAAAGGTGAGCCGAAACCGAAAAGGGAACGCCAAAATCGGTCCAAAATCGAGGTTATGCTGATATTCGTGGTGTGGTGCACTATGAATTCCTTCCAAACAGTCAAATGGTCAAACGGTCAGTAAGGAGTATTATTTGGCCATTATGCGTTGATTGCGTGAGGCCATTCGCAAAAAGAGGCCAGATTTATGGAAGGAAGACTCATGGATTTTACACCACGATAACGCACCGGCACACACAGCGTTGGTTGTGTCGCAATTTTTGGCCAAAAACTTCACTAATATCATCAACCAAGCACCGTACTCTCCACATATTGCCCCGTGTGACTTTTTTCACTTCTCCCAACTCAAATTGCCATTGCGAGGACCATAGACGCGTTTTGAGACCATAGAGGCCATAAAAGAGAATTCTCTGCCTGAACTAAAGGCCATACCTTCCATACTATAAAAACTTGTATGGAAAATTGGATCAAGCGTTGGCATGTATGTAGGAGAGTACTTTGAAGAATTAAAATTTTGCGTTTTTTTTTCCAAATCCTTATTTTTTTTTTAACTTTTTAAATTTAAATTCTCGTATATAAACACACAAATTATAAGTAATGTTAATAAATAAAAATTAATTTATTCAATAACTAAAAAAAATATATATATTCAAGAAATTTTTATGTATATCAAAAATCAAAATAAAATATTTGTACATTAAATAATCATAAAATAATAATTAACTTAAGATTATTAAGATTCAATATCAGTATATTTTAGCATATATTATTCTTTAATTATGAAAATTTAAATTAATATATATTATACATATGTATGTTATGTTAAGATAATATTTAAAATCTTTTATGCAGTGAGATGAAACAAAATGTATAATTATACCATAAAATAAATGTAACACATGTGTCATATAAAATGTAGTAAATATATAGCATTTCAGCAAAAGCATTAGAATATATTATCGTGACAGTACTCATACAATGCATTACTAATAGCTTAAACAGCGACTGGAAATGCAATATAATTACCAGTGAAATATACGTAAGTTTCTGCATAACATATATCTTTTGATAATGGAATTTGTAACATATTGCATGCGAACATCACAGAATATAGTGTAATGGATCCAAATCTCATTGTTGCACTGCCTTTTGATGACATGTTACTAATAATTTTGCAGGAATGTTATCACTTATACCATCTTTGCTACTAATGAAAAACTATATACACTTATTGATAGTAATTCGGTTTTGCTATTGAAAAACCATTGCTATTCAAAGCAGAAACAGCATCATCCAGTGTTAAGGTATACTTTCGATCCTTTGCTTGCTTCTCTTGTTCAGTTAACTAAAAAAATCAATTATTTTTAATTGAAATCATTTTTTGGTAATAAATTAATCAGTATAAAGTACTTTAGTTTTACTGCGAGTCATTAAAAAAGAATCATTTGCAGTGTCTGATATAAATTTTTGAACTGCCAGAGATATGAGACGAACGACTTTGGGATCTTCATCACTAAGTCCAGCTAACCTCATATAATGAGAAGTAACAGCATCTGGAACTTGCGGTACATAATCATGTAGTTGTACCATAAAATCATTAAATTCCTGTTGATTTAGTCTGTCTTCACTGAAAGTCTGACAAAAATATTCTGTAAGGCGAAGTGCTTCCATTTTATCCATTTTGTAAGCAGCAAGGCCCTTGGTGTTAGTGTTTGTGCTGCTGTCCACTGTCGTCGGTTTGTTGCTACCCGATGCTTCCGCGGTTTCGGCGTTACTTTCCTCAGGATTAGTTTTAACAACATTTTCACCTGCATTTTCAATAACTGGTTTCTCGTCGACAACTTCACCATTTTCTTCAGTTTTCTTTTCCTTTTCCATTTTAATTTATCAAGTAGTCAGATAAATGGTAAATAAAAAGTTTTAAACTTTAACTTTTTTGTTTAATTGTCGTACAACAAAAAGTAAACAGATAGAATTGCTAAAATACAAATAAAAGAATCATATAAATCATCATATGAGTTTTTATATATATATGTACTTACATGTATATTACATACACTTCTAATTATTTTGAATGCTTTTGCAGTTTTTTATTTTTTATATATAATGTGCAGTGTTTATGCTTTAAATATTAACATGTAATGATAATACTGTGACCGAACTGGGCAAATAGATACTTTCTTAACTTCGATACAAAATTCCTTTCGTGAAATTCTTGCGTTGCCACCTTCACGGATACTAATTACTGAACAGCTGATACTTTTTATTATGAAGTGTTTTGGAAAAATTTGAATATTTGTTCTTATGTTAAAAATACAGAAAAATAAATACTTGATATTTTTAAAATAGAAAGCTTTTGTCTTAATTGACTTTTGCTCATTCTGGGGAAAAATCAAATTAATTTTATTTTATTGGTTTTTGAATAAATTAAAAGAATGAGTGACAAATTAGTTGTAGATTAGTTGAGTGGTAAAGTACACAGTTGAAAAAATAAATGCTGAAATAATTTTTTGATTTCGTCTTTAATTTGAAAACCTTAAACTTGTTTATCGTGAATAACTAGTGATTAATTTTGTCTGAATAACTCGAATGTTGAAAAAACGTGAGACCATAATTTTAACGGACAGACAGACATATGCATAGAAAACAAAACATTTTTAAAGCATATTATATTGTATGTATTATATATATATATATATATATATATATATATATATATATATATATATATATATATTTATCAAAATACATGGATGTAAATAATTCAATTTTTTGTTATTTGAATTTTATGTATATAATAAATTTCTTCAAGTTAATGTTTCTTCTGTTAAAATTTTCTATTTTTCACTAATGTGTTATACATATCCGTCTGTCCACAGCAAGAACATAATCATTATATGTCAGTATAGAAGCAGTAAGTGGTATGACTCATTATGCATTCAGCATCATAAAGTTAAACATAATTATTCTGAATCACATGGGAATGAGAGTTTTGTTCCCTATTCCCAATTTTGCTAATCTGAAACCAAGCAAATTCTTTGGGAGAAAAGTTGAAAAAGTGTTAAAAAAAGAGTTTAATTTAATATGTAAGTAACTTATAATGATAAGATTTTTGAATATATTGTAATCAAATTATTATCATAATAAAATTATCATAATAATAAAATTATCATAATAAATTCAACATTTTTAAATTTTTATTTTTTTATTTTATCTACACGGGTTGATAAGTTTTTCGAATATATTTCAATAAAATTATTATAAAAATTTAATATATATAAATTTTTATTTAATAATATATTTTATTAAAATTATTTTTATAATAACTATATTATAAAATAATTTTATATATTTAAATTTTTATTTCTTTATTTTATCCACACGGGTTTTCTCCACAAATTAAAGCGTTAACTATTGTTATTTAAAAGAATAGAATAATCAAACAAACCTAAATTCTAGAATGAATGGAATTCCTTGAATAATTTGATATAATTATTTTAATTATGCACAGGTAAAATATTGATTTTTTTCTATCTGCTATTGATCTATTTTTCTATCTATCTAAACTATTACTACAGTTTATTAATTGAAGGACATTTCTATCCAAATTATAAAAATAAACACGATTTTTGAAGAGAAACTCAAATTTTAGTTAAAACATTAATAATTTCAATTAATAAATAAGATAAAATATCTTTTTCTTTGTATATAAGAACATAATAAATTATGAAGATATTAAAATTATAAAATAAATAAATAAAATAAAAGTTTTCTATTATTTACTTATCAAGTAGTAGTAGTATTTCTTTTATTAAATTTAGGTTATATTTACATTTACAAAATTAACATTTTCAATAATTTATAATATATAAAACATAAATATTATAAATAATTATAAGAAAACTAATAAGAAAAACCTAACTTCATTTACATAATATCTAATTTTATCCTTATACGATTATGGCATTTGCCGTCAATCGGGTTTACTTATCAAGTATTTCTTATATTTATTTCTGTTAATTTGTGCAGCAGACAAATAATGCGATTTTTACATTTAAATGAACACATGATACGCAATTTTTTTCTTTGTCTTGCTCATATTCGCATTTTTCGCCATTAATGTCATGGTTGCCAAAATTCAACAAAACAAATTTGAAACTTTTGTTGTTCCCAAAACAGCTGTCACCCAAGCAATTCAGAATAAGTGGGTTCTATTCTTGGGAATAGGGAAATTTATTCTCTGGGAGTAATCAGAATAACTATGAAAAAGTCTGTTGGCACTTAATATTTGAGAGATTTTTAAATATGACATATAAAAATACACTTCATCAATCCGCCAAATGAAATGTCAGACATTTGTATCGTTTTCGATTGGTAAATTTGGAGTAATTTTTCTCATCGAGATTTATTTTACTTTTACTTACGTTTGGTAAATATCGAGTAAAATGTATAACACTTGAGATTAATTTATAACACTCTAGATATTTTGCCAAAGTATCAAGTTTACTCTGAAATTAACAGCTCTTTTATATAAATTGACAAATAAAGTGTGATTTGATTCAATATACGTATTAATTAAATATATAAATGCCTACGAAACAACTACTAAAATACAAAATTAATCTAAAAATGTTCGATTGGGCAACAACAAAATTTGCAAATTTAGACTGAATACAGATTTATCAAGCGAAAACGCTATTATTTTGAGCGCATACAAATCTGTTCAAGTATCTTCTTGCAATGAAAACATAACGAAAATTTACTTGAATCTTACTTTTTTTTCGTTCGAATACTTAAAAAACTTAAGTAAATTAGTATTTCTTATAAAGTATGGGTTACTGTGTGATCATATTGTCTCATTTATGCATTTGCTGATTTATGAACGTGAACGTTCATATTACAATGAGCTCATTTATGCAGCTGTTAGAACTTTTATAAACTTCACATAATAATATATTACACAAAAAATATAATTGATATATTAAATCATTAATATACATTTTATACATCAATTACATATTCAATTAAGAAAAATACATATATTATTAAATACTTACTTTCTCAGTACCTTTGTGAACAGATCAGCTGTTTGCTTACAACACTATTTTCTCTACCTCGGCCAGTATATGAAGGTATTACTGGCCAAGCACATCGGCCAGTAAAGAAAAAAGTCTTACGAACGCAATAAGCGAATTATTGTGAACCTTCATTGGAAACTCCAACGAATATTGCAATCATATGTCAAAAATTATATGTACATAAAAATTCAAGCAAAACTCTAAAATTTCATAAATTTAAAAAATTGGGCAAAAATAAATTTTAGGGTTTTATTTTGAAATTTTTAACATTTTTACCATTCCTTATAATTTTATATTCAATTTAGTTTTCAATTTATGTTAACTATATATTGTGTATAAAACACAATGCAATTTGCTTGCATTTTGCTATTTTTGCTATTTGTCAAAATATAACACTTGACAGATTGCAATAGTGATGCCAATACTCTAGAAGACAATATAGATCAGCATGCATTTTTTGCCATACTTGTGAGCCACCGAAAAGGCCTATTCTAATTATTCTTGGTAGCAATTTGTTTTTATTTAAAATAATGAAGTTATACATAAGAAAAAGTAAATAGTAGTAAGTGCCAATTAAGGCTTTATATGTTGCAGTAAATAACGTATGTTTTTCCTGAAGATGACAATAGAATATAATCGAAATATTCGTGCCTTTAAAATACATATTTGTTTAAAAAAGAATTTTATAAATTGTGATGTTATTTAAAAAAATGATCAATTAGCCCGTTCAAAAAAATATAAATAAAATTTGATTATTAAAATAATAAACTATAACAATTTTTATTAATTACAAATATAATTAGCATCAACAACTGTAAAGTAGTATTTTCATAAAATACAACAGTGCGTATGAAGTGGAAGTTGAATCAATCCGACTTTATTAGATACATTTCGTATTCACGGGTGAGTTAGGCAACATTTTGCTCTTAGTCATCTTTCAAGCGTAATTAATAAATATATTTAATTTGGTTATAAACAAATAGTTTTATAAATGTAATGCGAAAAGAGTTGTAAGGAACATCATTTGGGAAGATTTTTCATTACTTTGCAAAAATGTGCAAACCAGTTATTTTAGGAAAAAACTCTTAGTTGCATATTTGTTTGTATGTATGTATTGCGTTTTAGGAGTTTTAATGAAATTTTCTTTATGTAATTACCTATTTTCTAAAAACAATGTGAAAGTTCGCGTAAATATTGGAGTGGAGAAAACTAAATGAGTGTTTAAGGAGAATACTGCATAAAATTATTGATTTTATTATCAGTGACTGTATAACGCCACGACGACAAAATGGCGGCATATGTTTCGATTGAGTTCGTTAAAAAAAAAGGTTTGTGAATATACTGAATATTTAGTGTGTACACAAACCAAATATATACATGACATTACCTGAAGTGTTCCAGAGTAAAACAAGTATTTCCAGTTCACAGTTTTTTTTTGTTTCATTCGTTTCGTATACAAATATGCATTTTGTAAGTAGTTTTTGTGCTGAGTGTTACATGATATGAAAAAAGTACGTATCGTGCATACATCACTGTGTCTGAACACAATAGCAGTAGAAAGACATGCCGAACTACGAAAAAATTTAGTGTGTTGAAACATTTTCACGATAGAGGATACGGAGTACGGAAAAGTCTGCTTGGAAACATTTCGTGGCATTAATTCATTAATAAATACATACATACATAAATAAATATATATATACATATATGTAATAGTAGAAAATATAAAGTATTTAATTGTAAAATTTATTTTATTTAAGTCGTTAAATAAAGAATTATAGGTAATTTATATATTTAAGAAATAAAAATAATAAAATTCAAGGCAACTTCTACAGTTGCTAGTAATTTTACTGAGGAAAAATAAAATGTTTTTGGTAGATAATTGTTTAGGTAGCTTTCATTAGCGACTTATGTGAATTTGTGTTATTTTAATAATCGTTGCATGTATTTCGTATTTCGATTTCTAGATAATTTATGCTGACTTATATAATGCATTAATAATAGCTCGCGTAGAGGAGAAAATGCACGACACGTTATATTTTTTCACCATACAAAGCAAACTTCTATTATAGTGGAAAGAAAGAGACCACGCTATATTGAATATAGCACAAAGTTCATGTTGAAAATATAAATTTAAAGAAAACCAAATTTGAATATTGAAAATACATAAGTGAATTTTGGTAGGATAGAATAGATTTTACCAAAGAAATCAAAAAACATGTGTTCAAATATAAAATCTAATTATATACATTTGAAATAACAAAAAAAAAAGAAAAAAAAAACAAGAAGGCTATTACTAAACTATAGCTGTATATGCTTATTGAAGAAACATCATATTAACATTGAAAATTCTATTAAATTTCAAAATATACATTAACATCAATATAAGTTAAATCAAATTCTATATAAAACTGTAACGGATGTATAAATATTTATAACCACAAACAAAAATGGTGAGTGTGTATATTGATTTATGATTTTATTAACTGAATAATTGCTTACTTTCTTTTCTTCATAATGTCTTCAAATATATATAAAATTTTTTTTTTTTTTTTATTTTGTAGCCAAGAATTGTGCCTATTCAATTACTAAATTGCTTGCGAGTGCTGTTAGATGCCAACGGTGGTATACGCAGCGCTGGAGATGTCAAACGTATCGCTGGGTAGGTAGCATTGTTAAAATTATGTTGAAGTACTAACATTTATATAAGTGAATGAGTGAAAAAGAATTTAAACTTAGATTTACTATGTTGCCATTCAAAATTGAAAATAAATTAAACAGGGTGCGAATTTTGATATGCTTTAGCACCTCCACGAAATTTAATCGCGCTAATCGATCGCGTTTAGACTTCGTTAATATATTCATGTTAACATTATGTTTTACGACTGTCTCAAATACGACCCACGGGTCTCATACGGCCCGCGACATATTTCTAATCTACCACAATTAGGAAAATTTTTCTTTATTATATTTTAATCACATAGCATTATTTTATTTTTATGATATCCCAAATGAATGAATTAAATTACATTAAATAATTTATTTGAATTCACCTTTCATTTCCTTCATTGATATAGATTTTCGTATATATTTCTTTGTACAACTGATTCAAAAAACTCATATTCACTGCCATTTGCCCCATTACATTTATATATTACATTATATTAAATTATTACATTAAAATATTACATTACAATACAAAACATTTTTCGTATGGCAAGAACTAATATTAATAATTCTGACTAAATTTAACATTATCGTCGCATTTATTTTTTTTTTGTTGCGGCTCTCCAACCTATAACCTATTCAGTGATTTGTATTGGTCCGCGACCTTATCTGGTCTAGACAGCCCTGATGTAGAATATATGTAATAATAAATATATTATATAAAATACGTATTTTATGCTAGCAGGACTGCCATTATGTAAATAATATAGGTTTATTTGGTTTAAATGTTGTTGTTGTTGTACTAACCAGCAATTACTAAATAAGCAATTGTGTTGACTTAACTAATAAACGAGCTATTCGTGGAAATCGACAGCCAAGTGCTGTTCAATATACCCAAAATGGACTACACAAGCAGATCTTTGTGGGCTATACCATTAACATACCGATTTATTTAGCTAGTTATAGCTATTAAACTATAATATCTAACTAGTTTTTTTGAGAACAAGCGGTAAATTAGATAATTTTTAAAACTTTGGTCAACAGATATAAATTTATTAAATTAATGCATCTACTACAGTAGTAGGAGCTTAACACGCTCCCCACTGTTTTCAGTGGGGTTTATACTATCGTGAAACTTAAAGCTTGAACATTGCTTTATTTGTGTAAACGTGTGAAACGTTTTTGTGTAATAGTGCAAAGGTATATAACACCTTGCTGTAAATAAGTACGTATGTCTATCAAGCTCAAGAAATGTAGTGAACATACTCTCATTCCCCCCTTTTCTATCGAGAGTTGGGCTCATGCGTCAAGCTGCCGCTACTGTGAATAGGATCATTAATTTTTTTTTTTATTAATATTGTAAAAAATTAGAGAAATTAGAATCATCAGTCACTTGCAATCTTGTATAATAAGACTTTTTACTTTTTACGGTGAACATTTTAAAAGCAGAAAATGCAAGTTAACACGCGTTGTATTGTTTTCTTTTGATAAGATAGCTTTTATCTAAATTGAATTATTTTACTGCATACTTGAAATTATTCAAGACATCAGTTTCAGCAACAGATTCACATCTAATTATTTGCACATTACTTGCATAATACCATAGGTCTGCTAAATTAGGATCACAGTGCATAACTTAATGCAAATGAACTATTTTTTTTAATAAAATTACACCTTTCAAATAAATAAATTTAAATATTTACATTATCTTGTGAAATATTTACCATCAAATAGGTTTTGGGTCTATTTACTTTATTACTGTTTAGTGTAATAAAACCGAAATATTAGATTTGCAAATTCTAAAACGAGGCCAATCGCTCTATATACCGATTTTTTACTCATTTCATCGCCTAACTCATATAGTGCCTAATAAATAACATTACGTTGAAGTTTTTTTTATCCGAATTCTAATTTATTTAATAGAATATAAATATGTTATGCTTATAATATTGTTGTCTTAATATTAATACTATTATTAATGTTTCTAAATTTCTATTATAGATTGATGACAAAATATTCCAAAAAACTGGTCTCAAAATGCATTTATGTGCAAATACTTAAAGTAACCAAAACAGATCTACTTGTTGAATTTATGCAAGTTGGTGGATGGACTTTAGTTTATAACTGGCTTACAGATGGTATACGTGGCATGAATTGGCCTTTAGTGCAAGAAGTCTTAGAATTATTTCTACTCTGTCCGGTTGATGTACATCGATTAAAAATCAATCCAGCGCCCAAATTAGTGAAAGGATTGACGAGAGATGGTGGCAATGAGAGTAAGTTTTTTATATAATATAAAAATAAAAATAAAAATATTTATAGACTGATTTGGAAGTACGAATGTGATATACAAAATTTTGTGATATTTAATATGTCGAACTAAATACATAACTTATAAAATTTTGTATTTTTTATTCACTTTATTTGGGTGGGAATAACTAAAAGTATTTTTCAGTTATAGTAATTAATGCATAAGTAAAAATGATAGCAATATTATTATAAGATATTATATATAATATCTCTGGTAATAAATCTTTTCTATATATCTCTTGTAGTTTTGTTTACTAACACTATCATTTATATTAAAAAATGATATTTGTATTTAAAATTTCTAATGCATAATAAGCAATAGAATTTTATGCATTACTTTATTTTATTTTAAATGGTCATAACAATCCGTTATTGGGTTTTAGCCTGACGCCGCATGTCTGTCTCCCCAGGTGTTTTTGTTGCGTGCGATCATTCTTCAGTCTTGAACGTTTTTTATATATATATATATATATATATATATATATATAATGTTTTAACCAAATGTTTTAACCAAACTACATATGTTAATATGCGTAATTTGACCAAGCTTGGTCACATGATTTTCTTTGATTTTTTACATTTTATTTGATTTTGTGAAATTATCACATTTCGAAATTAACGAATATCGAGTTCTGTCTTAATAAAACTATAAATTAATATCTCTACAAACAGTATCCAATGTCTTAGTAGAAGAATCAAGAAATATATATTGTGCTCATTAGATGAGAATATATTTAGATCGCTATAATACATTTTATTACCAAATATTACGTCTGCAAGCTTGTAGATATATGGCAAAATATATAAATATCCACTTCTTACTTTACTATTGTTTTACCAAAAAACAAAAAAAAAAAACAATATTTCTTAGAAACTCTAGACATTTCTTATTACTTTTATTAATTCATTTTGCCCTATATATACCAAAGGGTTTTTAATATCTCATCGTTACTGAATTAATTTTTCTTTTTTAATATTTTATTTTGATCTTTTAATACCTGTCAAGAGCTCTGCTTAGCTTAATAAAAGAAGAATTTTTTTAAAAACTTTATATATGAAGTTTTGAGTTTGTAATCTGACCTGATTATCAATTTTACACGCGTTATAACTTAATCCAACCAAAAGCGATCATTTATAAGAGCCTAAACTAAACTTCTTTAAGAGATACGGAATTAACTTGATAAATCGTAATTTATCAAGTTATTTTTTTATACACAATTCATACATAAATTTGCTATTTAGGTTTGATAACTATAAGTGTAAATTTGAGTTGAAAAGAACACATTGATAGTAATAGTAGCAGTAATAGCAATAATAATTTAAGTACAATACTACAATTGCATATGATTTTCAATATAGTCATCAGATTTTTAAATTCAAGCAAGCTCTTCTTTAGAAAACAGTACAATTAATCTGAAATCGCAATATACTTTGTTTTCGATTTTTTTTTATATTTTTTTTTTTTTGAAACAGCGGATTATTTTACAGTCTGTAAGTGCTTCAAATATAAAAATGATCAATTATTAATACAGTAATAAAAACTTTCTCAAGCGATCACTTAAACTTAGCCAATGTTTATTTGATCAAGTGTTGTGTCCAATTAAAATGGATTAAGTTATTGTAAATATTGATCAAAAAAACGGGTTTAAAAAAAATTCTACATCCAAAAGAGGAGTTCGTTTAACAGAAGTGTACGTTAGAGAGTTTTTTTTTTGTATAATAATTACACATACAAACTAATACACACAATATACATAATTTTTATATTAATATAATCATTAAAAATTGAATTATAGACGATAACTTTAATAATCGTTATTTTATTATATTTAAAATTTTTTTTAAATTAATTTTTATATATAAACAATTTTAGTTTTTTCAATAGGACTATTCAGACGTGACTCGGTAATTGGGTAATCTGTGAAGTGTTAAAATGAAAAACGTCTGAATTGCTCCCTTTTTTTCTCGGTAGAGTTGTTAAATTGAAATGCCAAAATAACTAATTTTGTTTGTTTTGTCTTATATATAAAACCAAAATTTTAGTAAAAGTTGTTCTTCCATTTAATGTTGATTTCTTCAAACACTTTAATTTGTCAGTCATCATGCCTCGGTAATTCGTTAACTTATATACATCAACTAATTTTATCATTTTACCGATTTAACTAACTAGTACGTCTAAATAAGCTTAATAAATTATTATTTTAGAGAATAGCATTTTTTCTACTTAATTTGTGCATATATAGTTAATAAACTGTTCCTATTGAGTCAATGGTAGGAATAGTATGATCCTCTCAACCATTATCCAATTCTTATAATAATCAGTTTATTAAGATATCAAAATATATTCATTTCGCAGCTGTATAATAAATTGTTAGATATATTGTATAAAGTTAAAAAAAATTATAGGTTTTTTTTTTAAATTCATTTTTTTTTGTTTATTATACACAAGCCTTTTTTTACGTACCCTCCCAACCACTTTTAAACTTTTAAATGAAATTGATATTAGACACACACGTTGCAATCTGTAGACATTGTGTAATGCATTGTGTATCGTTTGTACTATAATTGGATTTAACATCTTTGCGTTGATCCAATGATTGAAGAAAAACTAATTGATTTTTATTTTCATATTACATTGTACAAATAGCATTTTTTATGTGTCCAAGTTGTTAACACGTCCCTTAAGCGGGTATTACACACCACACTTGGTGCGACGACGCTTGCTATTTGACATCATGCATTGCCGACATTATTTTGAACAAAAAACAACAACAAATATACTACATTTAAACGATACTTTCGCTTCCATCCTTTAAAATAGTATGAAATTTCGCATGTAAGCCGACAAAAATCGATTGTATATGAAAAATATTTTGATTTCCGTCCGTCTGTCACAAATTTCGTATTCAACGCACCAAGTTAGTTGTAGCACCATGTATGATGTGTAATACCCGCTTTACTTGTTCTTTTTCGCCACGGCGTCATTTTTATTTCATATAAATATTGATTATTATTTATGAGAAGTTTTTTTTGTTTGAAAACAAAGAAATACTTATATTTAACATATATTTATTACTTCGCTCTTCTTTAATTAGGTTTTTATTTTCAACAAAAATGTTTTAGTTATTTAATTTTTTTTTATGTTTTTGTTTTTGTTGTTTTTTTACCTTTTATTGCTTTAATGGAAGAATTTAAATAGATTCAGTTAATTCGAAAGTAATGATTTCATTGAATATTTTCATATTGCGCCTACTTCAAACCAATGAAAAAAAAGTGTTAAATATTTTTAGTTGATTTTAATTGACAACTGATGGCGCTGCTATATTTCTGTAAGCTATGCTTGCAAATAATGCATGAGAATTTATACAAGGCAATTTATGACAGATTGCAAATGTATATGTGGGTTGAAAGGGGAATATGTAACAGTTTAGTATGAAGTGTGCATATCTTAAAGTCGGTTTTGTTTTTTAAGTAATTTTAGCTGTTATATCGATCATAATTTTTTTTTTGTGTATATCTATACGTATTGCGGCGAATTCGCTTTTGCTTTCATCAGGAGGAATTCGTAATTTTGGATATATTGTGTATATCTTGTTTTATAATTTATTTGTAAGTTATATTTTTCAACAACTCAGCAGCAGATTTTATTAAGTATATGGCGGTTGTTTGTAATCAATAAATTATACTTAATTTTTAAAAATTCTGATAAGAATTGTTTTTCCCTCTTTTTGTTTTAAGAAATAACAGAAGTATATTTTGATTTTGTTTTATTTTTCTGTTGCATATATATGGCGTACGTTGTGTTTTTAGTAAATGTTATGATATGGATTTCTCTCTCTTTGATGAATAGCACAATAATATAATGTATATGAAAATATTAAACATATATATATTAATAAATTTGTGTGATATATATATTATAAAAATAAAAATTTTACTAAAATTGATAAACTTTATATCAATTGTTGTGACTTGTACGTTCGTACGTTCGTACGTCTTTTTTTTCATTTGCAACTTTGCTCATAGATAGTAAAACAAAACACATTGACAAATGAATGCACAAAACAGAAAAGAAAACAAAAAAAGAAAAGAAAAGAAAAGAGAAACAGGTACACCAGTTTAAAGTTGTGAGTTCGCAAGAGTTTTTGGTGTGTTCATTCAATAACTGCGTGTACGAAGAGCAAAACAAAACAGACACTTAAAACGTTTTGCCTGTAATGTAGAATGTAGAAGAATGTAGAAGTATGTACGAAAATTCGTAGTTATGACAATTATCCATATGAATCCATGTGAAAGAGTCGTATGACTATATTCACACAGTGTGTGTTAACAGAATTGTATTAAATGTTTGTTTAGTATGATTGCTGTGCTTCTGTTGATAGGGCTGATTGATTGATCGTAGTAATATTGGAGTTAAAAGTTAATATTAAGAAACTTTATTTTAAAAACTTGCGCATATATTTTTGATATCGTTTTAAACTGTTTGCAATATTTGAAAAGTTAAAATTTCTCAAATTAATTTTTTTGTTAAAAAAATAATTAAATAGTCTAAATATCTAAGTCTGTTGAGAGGTACGTAATTTGAAGTTATTATTATGTAATTTATTTGTGTACAGTCTGAGAACTCTACCTGTTTGTATATGTACATATATACATATATATACATACTTTTAAAAATATTAAAAACTGATATGGCGTATTTACGTATTTTCGTATTTATTTGAAATAATATTTTGCGCATATGGATTTTTGTGAAGATAGTGGCTGCCATATAAGCAACAGTTGAGTGTAATCGTCGTCGTGATTAGGACGTAGTGAGTGTTTACTACTACTACTTGTGCCATAATTTATTGTTGTTTGTGTTTTTTTATCTTAAAAAAAAAAAAAAAATTTTTCAATTTAGTAATTTATGTACATACGTATAATATTAAATAAATAGGTATTAGAACAAAATGTTTAAGAGAACCATACAATTTTTAAGTGAACATTTATTTTGTATGCATTAGCTTTGGTGGTGTTTATTTGGCCCTTTTAACCCTCTAAAGATATTCTATATTGTTGCTTGCTGCTGCTGCTTACCTTGTATTGCATCAGATTTATAGTTGAAAGGACGAAAATTCATATTAAATTTAAACAGAACATTAACACTGGAAAAATAGAGTTTATTTTTGTGATAATTGGGTTCTTTATAAAAGTGCAAAATATATTTTTCTCGTGCTATAGCCTGGTTGTGTGAAATGTTCATTCGAAAATTTAAACTTTATCACAATAGCGCATATCAGTGTCTAGTTTATCTAGTTTTACAAAAAAATCTGTCTGGTATTTCCAAGATTTTTTTTTAAACGGTCTTACCTGGTTAGTGCTATTGTATTCCGCAAACAATACCAAGAAATATTAGTGTCAGTGCTAGTGTACATATGTAAGGTCAAGGCTGCCACTTCAACCTAACCCAACCTAACTATTTCGTACAATTTTAAAATTTTTATATTTTATTATACTTAAAATTGTGCGCATAATATTAACATTATATCAAAATAAGAATAAAACAAAAGATATGTTTTATGGTATACAAGGTTCCAAGAATGACCGACTCTACGTCCGGCAGCCAATCGTCAAGTTCGACGACAAACTGGTCTTTCAAAAGGACCACTTTGAACGCAAGCACTACAGCATCAACACTATTTCACAATCCTGCACTTGGAATTTATACATATTTACACTGAAAAAAAAAAAAATATACATATTAGTATTAGTTACCGTGAGATGGCGGTAGATAGTTGTTTGTACAAAGTGAACGTGGTATCTCGATATTTATATTATATTCGAATATAAATTTTATAGAAATTCTTGTTTAAAATGTGAGGCAACAAAGATCATAATAGTGCCAGGTTTCCCAAATTTAAGTACATATAATTTACATTTAAATTGATCGAATCTCAGCAAGTTTTTGTATATATACTATATAATAATGTAAATAAAAAGTATCACGTATTGCTGAAAATAATAATATAAAAATTGATCATAACATATGATTCAGTTAAATCGTTCATTCTAAAAGTATTTTGCAATAATGTATAAAAATATTTAGTTGTTGTAGCCAAAGGAAATCAAAGACGTATATATCGGTTAGGAAGTGGGTAGGGGTTAAAAGTGTGAGAGGGGAGGTTGTGTCATAAAGTAATTGTGTTGAATTAAATTATTTAGTTCATTTCAATAGATTATATAAAAAAGTTTACAATTGATTACAATGATTTAAAATTACGACATAATCTTATATTTTTATATATAATAAAATTATATAACTATTAATAACTTAGTTAATGTTTTTTTTTTTTATTTTCAGGAGTACGTATATTAGCAAATCGTTTAGTTGAGCAATGGTTAAAAATTGTGACTGAAAGTACAAATATTGCAATATACGCTCTTCACGATAAGTCGACATTAGCCGGCGAATTACGTGTTAGCGTAACACCTACAAAGGATATTGGTAGTAATATTGTTAATAGTACCGAAGCTTCTATAAATTTAAATGATGACATTTCTACAAATTTAGAGTCTCAAGATATGCAATTACCAATTTCAAATACTCAGATAATTGAAAATAGAAATTCAGCTACACATGATATAACTTCTACATCACGTACAGCTATTGAATTAGAAAACTCTTTAACTGATGATTCAGTGATGACAACAAAAGCCAAACCCCAAGTTGGACGTACAACAAAAGTAATGAATTCAAAATTTGTGCCAGCAAAGAGTATACCCACAAAGGTAGTTGCGGGAAGAAAGAAAACTGCACGTATCAATTTAAAAGTAAACGAAATTGAAGAAGAAGATCCACTTGCTGATGTGGGTGATACACCACCACTTATTACCAAGTATACATTAACTGCAGCACAGAAAAAGGCGACTGAAGCAGGTTTAGTTTATAAATTTGTTGTGAAAGATGGTCAACAAGTTTTAGCTAAAGTATCACAGGAAAATGAGAAAGAAGCTGAAAATCGAAAAGGCGAACCGACATTTTTAACTGAGCAAGGAGATCATGATGTGTTAGTATCATTAGAAGAGGAACAAGACGACGAACTAATCACAGTAGAGAATATCGATGACAATCTAGACAAACAAGAAGACGAAATGCCTATTGAACTAAGTGAAGTGTTATTACCAGTAGATGCTGTTCAAAAGTATGTTACACAAATTAGTGATAAGCCGGAAGAATCACATGAAGATGATGATATAGACGTAGAATATATACAAAAAATCGCTAATGAAAGATATAATTTTAAATTTGATCTATTCGATACGGAAGACGCAAACGAAACTGTTGATAGCTTAAATGAAACTATTCAAAGCAGTGATCAAAATGCTGATCAAGATAGTGTGCAAAAGAGTGCGCAAAGTATTGATCAAAATACTGATCAAAATAGTGAGCAGAATAGTGATCAAAATAATGATCAAAACATTGATAAAAATTTAGATCAAAGCAGTGAGAAAAAAGAACGTAAAGTCGAAAAGGACTTAAAAGAAAATAAGGATAAAGAACGTAAAGATGATAAGGAGAAATCGCGTAAATCTAGTTCTTCAAGTCATAGATCATCTTCATCGGGTCATAAATCTTCATCTAAAAGTAATTCGTCATCATCAAGTAAAACAAAATCTTCATCTTCTTCGCATCGTAGTTCCAGCGATAAGCATCATAGTAATAAGGAACGTACAAGTTCAAGTAAGGATAAAGACAAAGAACGAAAAGATGGTAGTAGCTCGAGTTCAAGTAGACATAAATCCTCTTCAAAGTCATCATCATCTACATCATCTTCAAAGGATCGGTCACGTGATAAGGATAGGGATAAAGATAAAGAAAAGGACAAAACTAGCTCCTCGTCATCGTCTAGTAAAAGAGATAAGGAACGCGAAAAAGAGGAACAAATTGAAAAGAATAAAGAAACACTTGCCAAAGTTGCACCACAAACACTTGAGAAATTTGGGAAAATTCCGAAAAAGCCTAAAGAAGATACTGAAATAAAACAACATATATCTATTACAATACCTTCTAAAAAAGCATCAATGTCTATTGAATTAAAACCTGATGCAGAAAAGACTAAAACTGTTAAAACATATAAATCACAATTTCGTTCGCATGGTCTTAATGAAGAAGCTCCTCCACCGCCATCGCGTAGAGATCTTAAGAAACCTAAACCTATTTTACCACCTTCTGTCGTCTCTCCTCTTGTATTGGCTTCAACTCCTATAAAGCGTACTTCACCAGTAGCCATTGACCTTCCACTAGAGAAAAGGCCAAAAATTTCGTTGGATAGTATGAATATTCATCCAATCAAAGAAAAACCGGGTGCTGTCAAACTTATACCAGCCAAAAGAAGTAAGTATTTTTTTGAACGATTTGAACTAATTGGGCTTTTTTTTGATATATTTTCAGAAAATGGTAACTGGGTACTGGTATTGTTTCAACGAATTTGTTTTTATGGAATTTGAACATATTTTTGATGTAGATTTTGGTTTTGCTAAAATGAAAACTTTGGGAAGTTGCAATAGGAATACTGCAATGGTTTTATGTAAATAGGATGTTGCATGATATTCAGCTTTAATCACATCGCTCACAAAATGACAACAATTGGCGCATTTTTGATTTGATTGGTACATGAGAGGTACATGAAGTGACACGTTGCACAGAGAAACTAACGTAATTGGGGCTTTAATATTGAATAAGGCGAGTTATGTATAACTAATTATCGGAATTGTCGCTGACATAAGGATGCAAATAGACAATTTCCGTTGCAGTCTACTTCTCATAAAAATCGGCATTAAAATTACATTAAAAGACCATTGGTAAACTGTGTAAATGTAAAAGCATCTGACTAGACAGAGATATTGTTCGATAGCTATATTTATATATAAGACTTAATATATTTATATTCCAACTACATTTAATGTATAAATATTTTATATATGAGTTACACTTTGCTGGCAGTTATGCACGAATATTCTCATTATGAATATTTGATTCTCATTAAGAATATTTCAAAAGTTGTTGTTGGTTTCAAATATGAGCTATTTTAGTCCTTCTTATGATAATTTCGAAATATCATATTTACTGTGTGTATACTTTAATGATCGTATTCCATATTCTTTATGCAACCTATTTACTTAAACGCTGTTAAGTCGGCGCAAACGCTCTATAATGAGAGAAATACCTTTTTGCTTTACTATGATAAATATGATAAATTAGCCAAGCTGGTCTCATTTTTATGTTTTTTTTTTTGTTTTAGAAATAATTATGAACTAATAAAGTTCAATAATTTTCAATGGCAGTCTACTGCTGGTTTAAGTGTAACGCATTGTACTTACATGTCGGTTCAACCGACTTGATTAATAACCAACAGCAATATACAAAAAAATTGTATTATTAAGCTATAATTTATTTCAATTTTTTTTATTGTAATTAAAATAGTCGGTAGTCTTCATTTGATGCTCTGTATACATTTACGCAATTTATTTATTAGCATTCAAAGTCAGCTGTTCTCAATATTAAAGCGTGAATCGAGGTATCATATCGGAAGCAACTACTCATTCATCAGTTGATTGATTGATTATATACGCTTAAGTGAGGATACTGATCGGTTTGTGATAATTTTTAGAAGTTACCGATATTTTTGCAATTATACATAAAGAGAAAAAAACTAATTGAAGTAATATTCAACAATATTTTGCGATATGAAGATAATGCACGGTTATTCAATTTTACGGATTATGCCTAAATGAAGCCATACCACCTAAACAATGGCTCATAAAATGGATTGTATATAAGAGAAATAGTCAGTTAAAGTAGCTTGTATATTACCTAATGGACTTATTTGTGTAATATATTTTTGAGTCCTTAAGTTAATTTTATTTTAGCTGACTCAAAATTTCTCTAAGACCAAACGGATATTGTTAAGTATAATTTTTATCTTTTAATCCTTTTTTCGACACTACATATTTTTCTTTACTAAATAAGTTATTGAAAATAAAAGCGAATGAATTTTTAGGTAAATAAATTGTTTATTATTTTAAAATTTCAATTATGTAGCAGATTACTAATCTATATTGAATATTATATGAAAAACTTAGTCATCACATGACTATTACTTTTTTAAAATCACCTTGAAAATTATATGAATAGAACTTATTCTTCTTACGTTGCTATATATAAAATTTTTGAAATTTTTTTTTTCTTGTAACGAAATACAGTCTTTATATATATTATCGTCTGTATAAAGTTGACAGTACCACATCTTAAAAACTAAATGTTATAATACCCAAGTGGATTCTTGTCTCAAGATAGACAAAGAGATTAAAGAGATGAAATATATTTTTAGGTAACTATGGCCATGAAAAAAATGATTTCATTTTTTTCTCTTTTGAGATTATATTCATAGTTCCAATTATTTTGTTATAGATTTAATATAAATTTTTCTTTTTAATAACAAAACTTGAAAAGATCAGTGAAGAAAGTATTTTTACTTTTATCAAATTAACAGAATAAATATTTTTCATAGTTCCAACTATTTTGGCTATAGATTTAATACAAATTCATCTTCTTAATAACAAATCTTGAACAGATCAATGAAGAAAGCAAAAAATACCAAATTAATAGATTAAAAACTTTTCATAGTCCCGATTATTTGGGCGATACATAACCATACTTTTCAATACAAAACTTTGAAGAGGTCAATTAAGGAAATAAAATGACCGAAATTTTTTGAAAAAAGTTTGTATTTGAAAAAAGTTATTTCATCATTTTAAATTTTTAAATTATATTTATAGTTACGGTTATTTGGACTATATATTTAATTATAACCTTATAACCTTAAATAACCTTAAATTGATCAATGAAAAAACTGATCCTTTTAATAACGTTTTGAAATTCTATTAGTATTTAAAATGTCGATATTAACATATAAGTCTGTTAATTAAGTGGTTACTTCTTGCTCAAATTTTCGATTTTATTATAACTTAGAATTAATTTGTTTAGTTAAATTTTTTTAATTCGCTTAATTTTTATTTTCAATAACTTGATTTATCCGACTAACCCGTCTCACTTTAACCAGCTGTACGTTATTCCCTCAATGGATAAATACGCGTGAGTTGTGGTTTGTTCATAACATATTTACATACTTAATGATATATAAGCATATATGTATATATATGTATACACATATATATACATATATTTATATGCATATATGTTTAAATATATATTTATATATATATATATATAAATATACATGTATTTGCATGTATATATTTTTTTTTTAAATTTTTTCGATTCGAATGTAATCGATTAGTTTTTAAGATTTTATTCACTTATTTTTAATTAGTTTTAATATATGTTAAAGAAAAAAATATTAATAATGGAAAAAATAAAACTTTTTTCTATTGAAACAAAAAAAAATAATTTTACCTGATAGTACTTGAAGGTTGGTGGCAATTTTTTTTTATGATAAAACATCGATTGTCTACTGTGATTGAGTCTCTTTTTAAGTTCTTCAATAAGATCATGCGCACTTAACTTTTCCATTCGACTATAATAGATAGAGAGTAACTAATATATAAATATATATACATTCTAAACGTATTTTTAAGGATTAGAAATTAAAATATTATTTATAGATTTTCTTAATTATACCGAAGTTACAATTATTGTAACACACAATCATATATATATACAATCCGAAGTTAATTATATTATTTAAGTAAAATTTTGAATACAATATCAGTTTAGTACCGTATGTAATAGATCAGGGTTTTTTAGTATATGTATTATTGATAATATTTAATAGTCAGCTGATCAGTTGAATAATTTGTTTGTATTCCATCGATCTATGTTCCGACTAAGAGAGCTAATGTGTGTGTATAACATAAATTACATTAATAGTACTTGCATTATTCCATATTTGTGTATAAATTGGCAAGAGAAACAGATTATAGTAAAATATATGCACATTCTTGTTATTCTCATTATATTTGCATAGTAAGATCAATTGTTTTTCAAATCGACTGGAGAGTCAACATAGTTTCAACGAATCATATATATAACTATTAAATGACATATGTATATATAAATTACCTAAACAATGGAATTTAAAAAAGAGTTTTTATAGTAAAAATAAATTAGATAGGATTTATGGATTTTTGAATTTAGCTTGGCTTTTTTTTCTTCACTCTATACGTTTGGATTACTCACAATTATTTTTCTTTTCCAAATTTCCGCTTATTTGAGATCGGCTTTAACTATATATATAAACATTTAAGGTTTCTTTCAAAAATAAATGAATATTTTCAAATGAAAATCACAGTAGATTAACTAATATTAAGGCTTTATCTTTTCATGTTTTCATCCTTTAGGATTTCTAATAATTATTTTTCTATTTTAAATTGAAAATTGCGCTCTTTGAGAGTGTCTAAAATGATTACTATTAAAATATTCTTTGGAGTATTAGCTTGAGTTTGTTCCCATGATATTCTAAAGGAAGTGAGCTTTCGCAAAATATCACAAGTCCTCCTTTCTTGGTATTTTCTAAAATGATTACCATTAAAATATTCTTTGGAGTATTAGCTTGAGTTTGTTCCCATGATATTCTAAAGGAAGTGAACTTTCGCAAAATATCACAAGTCCTCCTTTCTTGGTATTTTCTAAAATGATTACCATTAAAATATTCTTTGGAGTATTAGCTTGAGTTTGTTCCCATGATATTCTAAAGGAAGTGAGCTTTCGCAAAATATCACAAGTCCTCCTTTCTTGGTATTTTCTAAAATGATTACCATTAAAATATTCTTTGGAGTATTAGCTTGAGTTTGTTCCCATGATATTCTAAAGGAAGTGAGCTTTCGCAAAATATCACAAGTCCTCCTTTCTTGGTATTTTCTAAAATGATTACCATTAAAATATTCTTTGGAGTATTAGCTTGAGTTTGTTCCCATGATATTCTAAAGGAAGTGAGCTTTCGCAAAATATCACAAGTCCTCCTTTATTGGTATTTTCTAAAATGATTACCATTAAAATATTCTTTGGAGTATTAGCTTGAGTTTGTTCCCATGATATTCTAAAGGAAGTGAACTTTCGCAAAATATCACAAGTCCTCCTTTCTTGGTATTTTCTAAAATGATTACCATTAAAATATTCTTTGGAGTATTAGCTTGAGTTTGTGATTGAATTTAAAATATCATTATTTTTGCTTCATGTTAAAATATACGTTTTTGAAACTTATATGCAGTTTATGTTGAAAGAAATATATAAACCATTTCGATTGTGCGCCATATTAGGAAGATAGCAAGTGCCACTGTTAATGCAGTCAATTAATTACTAAAAACCGCATTAGC